ACAAAAACAAAGGTAGTTTTAATTAAAAAAGTGATATACATTCTGTAAACACTAGGAACAAACACAAGCTGATACCAGTTTCTCGACTCCACAGAGTCGGTAATTCATTCTTGGGGCAATGTATACGCCATTACAACAAGGTGCCGGAAAGTGTACAGGCTTTCTCTGTTACCAAGTTTAAATGTTTTGTTAAGTTGAAACTGTATAAAAAGGGTTATTATAGTATATATGAATACATGGTTAATAATAATCCCTGGGAATGGGGTGGTCGCTTCCAAGCTGTTTCTAAAATAAATTTTGTGTTTATATAGTCTGTACAACCATTAATGTAAAATTTGCTTTAAAACAGTCTGCTGTATTTCTTGCTGGTTCTTCCCAGGACAGAGGTTTTTTTTCGAACCAGTAGTAAAGTAAAATTCAGTATAGAGATCTATCTTTCATTATGTAATAATATTGATGAACAATATATCGATAAAATTATTCGAGTATAGACATTTACAGCACTATTGTAATTCGTCAATGTTGTCAGCGCTGTTTGTCAAAACCTAAATGTAATATCTTGATGTTGGTAGAGTTAACACTTATCACAGACTAGATAGAGAAACTGACGTTTGACGTGACTACCATTCTCCCTCGTACATACTCCCTCTACGTTTCACACATTTATTTTTACCACGGAACATAGATAAGGTAATATGATCGGGCCACGGAATATAAAAAACTTGTTTTATATATTACGTGACTTTTACTATGGAAGTGCTGCCCAAAGAGAATATAACCACTACGTTTAGTGCAGCCTCTTAAGCCTAGTGATTATATTCTCTTTGCAGTGTACTATAAAATATTATTATTACTTTATCCACTCAACCGTCCGCCACGCGCGAGTGATTCTCGCCTGACCTGTCCGCGAATTAAATGTCACTATTTATTACGACCGCGCGAGACAGTCTTAACAAAAACGATTACTACTGAAAAACTACTATAGCTACATTCAAATAAAAAATATTCTCAAAAGACTCAAAGAATTCCAAATTTTATTTTGTTAAAAGAAAATTAGTCAAATTAAAAATAAAGCCTGAAAATAAAGGTTAAAAATGGGAATATCAAAAAATATCGTATTTATTTTTTATTTCGAGTTTTACAAGAAAAGTGTAATACTTACTGGAGATAATTATTTTATATTATAATAGTACATGATATTCCCTTTACACCAATATCAATAACATCTTATATACTCAATATATATAAGTTAATAATGTTTAGCCAATATCAATTTTTAAAGAAATAAATAAATAAATGAAAAAAATAGGTTTTAATAATTTCTAGACACATCTCAACGGATATTTCGTTTATAAATTGCTATCAACGTGTTAATAGTGAATCATTATTTTCTATTTTGCATTCATTTAACACAAAAAACTGATTAGAATACATTTTAAACAACATATAATAAATAAACGATGATCGCGTATAGTGATTAAAATTTAGAGCAAAATTATTATATGTAAAGGTTTTGGAATTGTCGTAATGATACATATTTACCAAAGAAAATATCTTCACAATAAGTTTGATCTACAATAACATTAGAAAAAACGTATAAAAACAGAAAAGTTATCAATATTTCGATCGAATTCATAGATGAATAAATATGTAGCAAGCGATCGAATTTCTCACACGTTAACATTCCACAAACAAAAATGGCGAAATTTAATTTTAACTTTTTTTTCTAAATATTTTGTTACTATTATACAGATAAAATTCACTTTCACTGACGACACATTTCATAAGGCACCATCTATAATTTTTTACTGTATTAATAACAGATATCTTTTGCGCTGTACGCGTTTAAACCGAAAGATGTCGTTTGGTGCCTAGACAGGTGAGGCAATAATGGTTTTTGGGGACTGTAGTCACCATGGACGGTTGAATGGTTATACTGAGATATATGAAGACATGGCTTAAAGAACAAGCATCCTAGCCATAAATAATAATTAAAAAAGGGATATAATATATATTATACCCCGAGATATAAATTATATCCCGCGGATTGTGAGATATATTATCTTTTAACCAGTGTGCGTTCGTCATTGGATTACCCCCTGTATCCCGCGCACCATTCAGCAGCGGTGTGGATCGGTGTGCGGGGTACAGGGGGCGAAATATAACATGAAAATATCGCTTGGTCAATCGAAAAAATATTTATAGTCTCAGTGTTCCATTAAAAAGTACGGTGAGCGATTTCAATTTATATCTCGAGATATAATATAATATTAGTTCCTTACATATGAAATTAGCGTTTTGTCGTACTGACCAATTTGATCTGAAATATCTCCTCTTTGATTAAGAATTCCAAATTTAAATTTATAAATTCATTTAGCTGATACATTTGACTTTTGAAAACAGTCATTCATTTGTTTTTTCCTCATTATTTTTTTCTTTGGCGTCGCTTATTACCGCACAATGGAAAACGTGAAATATCGGTATATTTACGACTACGAATTCTACCGTGGCACCAGTCCTGCAGAAACAGCTCGAAGGATTAATGATATGTACGTCGCTGGTGTCGCAAAAGAAAGCACAGTACATTTTTGGTTTCAACGTTTTCGTTCTGGAAATTTCAACCTTCAGAACCAACCCCGTGGATGGCCAGAGACCAAAGTGGAAAATGAAGAATTAAAGGCTATTGTGGAAGCGGGTCCATCACAAAGCACTTCAGAGATAGCTGCAGGCTTCGGTGTATGCGATAAAACTGTATTAATCCACTTGAATCAAATCGGGAAAATAAAAAAAATTGAAAGATGGGTACCTCATGAATTGAGTGAATCGAACTCGCAAACACGCGTCGACTGCTGTCTTACTTTGCTCAACCGACACAATAATGTCGGGATTTTAAATCGAATCATTACTTTTGATGAAAAGTAGATACTGTGCGATAATCGGAAACGCTCGTCGCAATGGCTGCCTGGACTGGAGACCTAGCCAAATCCTGCCCTAAATGAAAATTGACTCAGAAAAAGTTACTTTTTTTTTATAGGATAAGGGTGACAAACGAGCACACAGTCCACCTGAAGGTAAGTGGTTGCTGCGGCCCATAGACATCTACATCTATCCTCTATTACAAATCAAACTGCAGATGCGTTGTCACCTGTGAGGACTAAGATGGAATGCCTCATTTCCAGTAAAAAGGGCCTCCGGCCACCTGCACTCACCAAGCGAAACGCAGTGGTAAACCTCTACTTTACGCTGGTATTCTGTGAGGTCATGGTACCACCCCGATTCAAGCCGACCCATCCGTGTGGCAGCAAAAGCCGCCACGTGGCTCTACCACTGTTACTTGTGAGTGTTTGATGGACTAGCGCCGGTGTCTTTCACTACAGCTTTCTAAAATCTGGCCAAACGATTACGGCAGATATCAATTAGCTGCTGAACAACCGAGATTGGTCAATCGCTGTAGGCCACTGCCGCTTCACGATAACGCATGACCACACACCGCATAACAAACAACCACTAAGTTAGATGAGCTACAATTGGAATGTCTGCGACATCCACCGTACTCCCCGGACCCTGCTCCAACAGATTACCATTTTTTCCTGAATTTGGCCTACTTCTTACAAGAAAAAAATTTCAAATCTGATGAAAAAATTCAAACCGCCTTCAAAAGTTTATTGATCTCGTCCCCATGGTTTTTTTTAGTAAAGAGATCAATGAACTACCTATGAGGTGGCAAAAGTGCGTAGATAACAGCTGTGCATACTTTGATTAATTAAATATATTTTACAAAAAAAAATTGATTTTATATTCCTCCCGTACAAAACGCCAATTTCAAATGTAAGTGTAAGGACCTAATATATTACATTATATCCCATAGTGCTAAGCGGACTTTAGAATTCTATTCCTTTGCCTTTACATATTTAAAAAAATCTTGCTCATAAATATGGCAACAGTCAATTTGACATTTTCTTGCCTTGGAGTGTTGGCGGGAAATTGACCGGCGGCGGTTTGCTGCTCCTGTATTATTGTTTAAATAATGGTTTGAAGTGAACTTTGATATGTAAAAGTGGTGCGATTTTGTGTATTAAATCTCTGCGCATGTGAACTATTAGTGGAAACAGTGAAACAAGTGCTCTGATGGTGATGGATTCTCAAGATAAGCTGTTTGTTTGCATAGGCACCTTTAGATACCATCGCCAACTATCAGCTGTCTGCTGGATCAAGTTGCCGCCAAAATCTCCCAAGAACTGCACAATGTGACGCATCAACATATTGTGAAGCAGTATACTATGAAGGAGTGGGGAAATTACAATAAACCGAATAAAAATACTTAAGACTTGGCCTAAAGGTCTAGATACCAGGCCATAAACTCCAAAAAAAAAAATTGTCTTGCTTTGGCGATGTAAATTGTAAACAGTGGTGCCAAGTTTTAGGCTATCTTAAAGGGTGTCGGGGCGACCGAAAATTGCTACTTCAAAAAAAAAAAACGGGCGTTTTTTGGCTATATAATTTACTCTCTTATTAAGTAAATCTCTTAGAGTATATAACAAAAATACGTGTAAAGAAAAATGTTTTTGACACAGAAATATCAAAGAAGTTTAGATTTTAAGGCAATTGTAAGTTAGATATCTCTTTTTAATTTTGTGAAATGTCAATAATTAATAACAGATAAAATACACATTTTATATGTTGATCTTTTCTTTCACGTTTACGATAAACTGCTTCAAATTTTATCTTGTTAAAATTATGAATAACGTTGATTAATGTAGGTCTACGTTTCAAAATAGCCTTTATAGGCTACTTGACAATTTAGCAGGCGATTTTAGGCTACATTACAGAGAAAACAAATTAGGCGAATTTAGGCTACTTGAAGACAAATTTTTGGCGACTCGGAGTGGTCTGGACTTGGTAACACTGATTGTAAAATTGTCAAAATTACGCGCCAATTTAGATACATGAGTGTTTAATGTTTTTGATTTTAAAATTATTCTCAATAACTATTTCTGAATATGTCTACTCCTTCGAAACGTCCATCATCACGTGCATCTTCTGAAGCGGCAACTCCATCCCGTAGGACAAGGTCCTCGCAACAACTTGTAGTTCCAGAAACTCCACAGCGATCATCCGGTACACCTTCCAAAGGTAACATATGAATCCCTTCAACGATAGTCTTATGAATTTAATCCATTGTTTAAGACTACCTAGTCTACATTACTTCGTTATTTTCGTCATCATAATCCTCACTATTGTAGCCCCATTTAAAATCTTTCTTCCCCATTTGCTGCTTCTTGTAGCATTATAGCCGTTCCATTGTTACTAGTTTATTGCTTTTTCATTGCTAGAAATGTTAAAAAATCTTAAATTGAACAGGTAATATTACTTTTATAAAAAGGAATATTTGTTGTTAGTCTATGTATTCCTTTAAATTTAAACCATTAATTCATATAAGGTGTGTGTAAAGTGCTGTGTGTGTGTCAAAAATGAATGTTTATTGTTTATGATAGTCTTTCAAATTTTGATACTTTTGAAATGTTGAATGAAATTTTGTTATTACTATTCAAGGCACAGGAGATAGATTTGTAGTACAATGATTTTGCTTTGCATTTTGCAAATAATTAATGGTAGAGTAGGTGATTTTTTGTTAGAGGCGCTGGCCATTTATAATTTATTTTGAAAATGTTTACAATAAAATATGAATCTTTCAATTTCAAATTTTCCTCCACCTATTTCACAAGTTAAATTGAAATATCATCATTTACTGAAAAATTTCAGCTCAATCGGTTTATGATAATTCCTTTAAAATTTAGTTGCAAGATTTGACCCTAACAAAGTTGCTTACATTGCAAGTTAAATAAAAGTTTTTAAAATAGATCTGCATAGGGAACATTTTTATACGAAATTTTTGTTTGTTTACTAAAAATGGCACTTCTGGATGAAGGCCCTTTGAATACATGTTCATGAGATTTTACAAGAAAACTTTAAGATAAAGGCAATAGTTTCACATTGAGTCCTGCTCATTTTATGAATGTTATGGTACTGTCATATGGTTACTAAATTTGAAGCTGGCTTGTGTGTTAGTGTTTATGACAGTTTGCCACAAGTGAAACACATTGAAGCTGAACATTATATTGAGTGCTGAATATTGGATTTATCAATGTGATCAAGAAACAACGCTTTAAGTTGTAATGCTCCATTATACTTCATGTACTATATACTCTATGTTCACACTCAACTAACCACCACCGCATTTGCTTGTGGCTATGGTTTGGTATAGTTTCATTGCTGTGGGAACTGGGGAGCGAAGGCATTTCACACACATTACATGCTGTTTTGTCGCCATCACCCTGGGGACTGTAATGGTAAAGCCAATCTACAACTGTATTAGGGCTGCAGCATAAATGGGTCTGCTTGTCTGAAGAAGGACCACACTCTTCTGTTTCATATGATAAGTGCAGATATCCAGATACTCTTGATACTCTTTTTACTGTTAATGAGACCACCTTAGTTCTCAGGGGCGACAGGTGTTTGAATATTGATTCTTAATTGATGATAAATGTAGATGTCTGTGCCACAGCATTCACTCTATGTGCTCCTTTGTCACTACTGGCTGGGAACTTTAATAAAGGTACATAGGCTATAAGTTGAGTGAGCCTGTTTTTTGAAATTTATACAATACAATACAAACACTCACGCCTGTCACCCAGAGGGGTAGGCAGAGACTACAGACTTCCATTTGGGGGCGATCCTGACACACTTCTCTCGCATCCTTTACATCCATATATTTACGCATGCACGCTCGTCGGTTAAGGGTACTCATAATCTGGCCCATTTTCAATGTATCGCCGATTTGGTTGATATATCTTCGTCTAGGGCATCCCTTCCCGACTTTGCCGTTCACTTCTGAAACATAAATTTGCTTTGTCTCTCTTTCCTCATTCATTTTTTCTATGTGACCAAACCACCGAAGCATTCCTTTTTTAATCCTATTCACAACGTCATCTTGCAAACCACACTTTTCTCTTATCACACTATTTCTCACCCTGTCATTCAGATTCAGCCCTAAAAATATTAATAAAATGTAATTTCTGTTTTTATTTTGATTTTCTTGTAATAGTTTAAGTAATATGTCTGCCATGTCATGTTATCACGTATTATCTATTTTCAATTTATTGTTCTAGATGGCACTCCAGGCACTCCATGTGGTGCCCCTCGCACTCCAGGCACTCCTCGCGGTACTCCTCGCACTCCCAGTGCACAGATTGCTGGCACATCACCAGCACGACCTTTGGGATCAAGTCCTCTTGGTAAGTTAGTATATTATAAGTAACAAACAAAATATTTGATTCTATGGTATATCTTTTTAAATACCATTCAAATTTCAAAATTCATTGCTTATTAATTTAAATAATAAATAAGTATAATATATAATTATTAATAATGTGTCATTTTCGTTAGAAGCTAATTTTTCTGGTCTCACAATATCAACCTTACCCACTTCTAAACATCTATTTTAGTACATATAAATTTTTTATGTTACATAACAAAAATCAGAAAAACAGTCAAAATAGTAAACATTCTTCAAGGAACAATATTACTTATGTTTCAAAAACACAACATCCATATCATAAATTGATTACACAAATAATTGAAACTGCTAAGTGGTTTTGATTTATCAAATACACATAAAAAAGCTTTGTGGGCAGTTATTGAGTGTAATTTGTAAAACATTAACATTGATACAATTTTTGTAATATATATAGTTTGCTTATTAAGCACAACCTCCATACAGCTTATAGTGCAATGTAGGTCACATTGTTCTTTCACAATCTATGTGTGAACAAACTATGACAAGTATTTAATTTTGTTTTGATTAACAAGCATATTTATGTATTTGAAAAATAATATTTTTTGTAATATTTTTACACCAGGGACTGATATTGACATGAGCTCTCCATTAAATTATGGAACTCCAAGCTCTCTAAGCACGCCTCGGTCCCTCGTGCGTGGCGTGTCAACACCTGCGCGACAGCGAGCAGACTTAAGGGGACATCAACTGGGCCCTAATGTACCAGCGCCCACACCGCCAAGGAGAGTAAGTACATGATAATGTTCACCTGTGGGTTAGACTGAGGACAGTTAAGTGCCCTCCTTTTAATCTATCACACCCATCTACTTTCTTGGGTATTGTTTGAGTAGATAGACAATGGGAAATTCTAGTAGGTAATAAAATATATGACTACATAAATTCATAGATTTTTTAAATATTATTAAGATATTAAATCAATGAAAGATGGAAACCAATATGTTTTAATTAGACCCATTGTTCCAGTGATGTATTGTTATTACACTGCTTCGTTGGTTTCTCGGTTTAAGTATAACTGCTCATCATGTGGTTCTGGATTCAATTCCCAGGTCAGGCCAAAAATCAGTTATTGGGTTTTTCTACTCAGATATGCTCAGTAGCAGCCATAGTCAAGAAGTTGCCGGATTAGCGAAGTTTACCACCCATTCGGACTCCGAGAGTATGGGATAAAGATTGTATCTGTGCTTGCGTGTATACTTGTGCACTATCGTATCCTACTTTGTACAGATGGCTCGGTTCAGATTACATTAAGATTAGTTATTAATAGCAATTTTGTATGTAGTACGGCCCCATTGCACTGTATTATGGCTTCAACATTAGTGTTGTAGTAGTGCTAATAGGTTGCTTCGACTAGGAAGACCACGCTCGCACATAATATCTAAGTGAAATAGTAGCATAATGCTCATGTGTTACATATTATAATGAGTAACGAAAACTGGAGATCGTTTTTACTGGTTATATGACATTCCATCTTAGCCCTCAGGAGTGCATTTTGACTCATTAAATGTATGAGTAGGTGTCTATGAGCCACAGCATTCACTTATCATCTGGTGGACTATGATTGTTTGTCACCTTTACTTCTATAAAAAAATTAATATTTAAAAAAATGGAAATTGCAAATGTTAAAATAATAATAAATTATGAAATTGTTCCACAGGGTGATGCAGGAGATACAGATTCCACATCTGGCGAGCCGCAGTTGGTTGTTTGGGGCACAGACGTCGCCATTGCGGAATGCCGTGAGAAATTTATTAAGTTCGTTCAGCGTTTTGTGGAGCCTACTGCAGTCACTAACGAACCTCTCTATGAGACTAAGTTGGAAGAGGTAAACACTTTTGCTAATAATGTGTGTAGCTTAGAAAATTAACTTGCGCTCTTTCTTAAACACTTTGATTGGAAATGACGACAAATAAGTAATAATTCTATTTAATTCTATTAATTTTAGAGCACTTTAGCAGTCAGAAGAACTCTTACGTTTTATAAATCTTTAGAATTATTTATAAAAGATTTATAAAAGATTAAGGTTTATAAACGTATAAATTAAATGCTTTGCAGTAGGCTATTAAAGATTATATTTTATAAAAAATCCCTATTCTAGTGCTAATCTATGAAATAGGAGGCTAACATAACCTACAGAATTCGAAAGACATAATTAGTTTTAAAAAAGAACATAGTAATTCCTACAATAATGTGGTTAAAACTTTTTTTTTATATTTTAGATACATACTTTGGAGGAACCATTCCTGGATGTGGACTGTGAACATGTCAAAATTTTCGATTCAAAACTACATCGCCAACTTATTTGTTATCCACAAGAAGTAAGTGTTGGACTACACTAATTTCTAAATGATAATTTGTTTTTTAAAATTTTACTTGGTGGCTGTAATTTTTTATATTTCAATGACAGGTAGTACCAGCTTTTGATGCTGCTGTGAATGAATTATTCTTTGAAAAATATCCGGCTGCAGTTCTAGAACATCAGATACAAGTTCGGCCTTTTAATGCACCACAACGTCACATGAGAGATCTTAACCCTGAAGGTTTGTGATGAACATTAACTAACATTGTCCCTTTTTAAGACATTACAAGTAATTAAAAAAAAACATCATAAAGAAGAGAAAATTTTACGTCTACCAGTGGGAATATATTATGTAGATTGTTATTATTTTAATTTACTATAGGAGGTTTTATAAGTGTTTATGATATTTTTAATTAATTTTCAAAATCCAACATTAATAGTGGAAACTTCTGCAAAACTCGCCACGTTTGACAGTTGTTCTGGTGACGGTTGACGGTGACGGTTAGTACTAGACGTGTCGCATTTTTGATGATGCTCCCCTTTGCTTATCTGTAGACTTTATATCTGAGATCTTTGAAATATACCGCAAGACCGCAACCTATTGTAGTGGGCCATTGGATTTTTCCGACACCAATGAGATAAGATGATACTGGATTTTTTTACGTTTTCATCACACAGTACTTTTTTTATTATTGAATACGTACATTATTTCTAGCCTACAACTAATACTTGTAGGTACATAATATCGGTTTAGGTTTAAAGAAATTTATTTTCAAAAAGTCACAATGCCACTTACATGAAAATAATAATTACATTTTATTAAACTTATTCTAATGGTCGCCGAAAACTCAGTCAATAGTTTCACAGCATTAATTGAATGTTGAAAAATGTTCAATTAATATTAAGACGGCTGAGACTTAAAACTACTAAATGAGCTTACATTTTTTATATTAGAAGGCAATTTATTATAAATCTGTGTTACTTCAAAGGTAATGCTTTTTTTGCGTAGTTTGTTTGTACCTTTGGTAGTACAAGTAAGCTAGGTCGATGAAGACAGCATTTACAAATTTGTGATTTTTTAACAAAAGAAGTTAGTATGGATAGTATTATTTTCTTAATTATAATGCAAGTATCAAGTATATGTAGTTGTTGAACATTCATAAGTTTTGTTCCTCTGAAAATTTTAAAAGTTGGTGTTAGATATGGATAGAAAGAAGTATTTTTATTATTTTGTATCCTTTGAAGTAAGTTCTTGTAACTTAGTTTTAGCAGCATAGTCCCAAATTTACTGTGGTGCTGGTGGAATTTTGTTCGGGTATGCCAACTATAATTATACTATTTTCTCTCTTTTTGTGCTCTTGGACTTCGCGAATAATTTGTTCATTTACAAACACAGCTGATTAGTTTGAGTGGCTGGCGGGTTTCAACATAATTGTTTAGTCTTTTTCAAGTAGCTTTATTTTGTCCTCACCATTTGATACTTTTGACTGCAACTGCGATAACAGTTTTATATTGACTGTTTTCTAAAGAAGTTTTTGACGTAGCGGTCTTTATGTCTTGGATTTGTATACTAATTTCGGCTACATCAGAGCTAATCAAGTTTCTCGTTTGTTCATGCGAGGCCCGTAGATCGGTGATTTCACTTTTAACTTCAAGAATACTCTGGTTCATTTGACTCATTATTTGTGTACGTAATTTTCTAGTAAGGAAGTGATTCGTGATCTTACATTGAAATTCACGATCAGCCGGTTGTTTATGTTTACTAAAAGTAATTTGTATATCGGAAATATTATCTGCCGACATTTTTGACAAGTCAGATTGCGAGCCATCGGCGGTAGTAGTTAAAGATCGCATTATATTCACTGTTGCAGTTGCAAAGAAATATATAATTTAGTGTACAATACAAACAACTTCAAAAATGGTTTGTTTAACAAATATATCGTAAAATAATAAATACACAACTCATGGGCAGTACTGTATGCTTAGAACACTGGGTCAGTGTGCGAGCAAGTAAAAAAATAGCCACTTGCTGGTCTCCGTAAGTGAAGTACGTCGCCCCGCTATCGAGGCTTTATACAGTATTGTCTTCACTTTAAAAGGGTTTTTGTCATAAATCACTTCACAAAATTAACACACGTCTACACAGTACAGTAGTTCGACGACGATTTGATTACTTATTTATTTTCTACCTAGAAATTAGCTGTTTGTATTCTGACCATAATATGATAGTGGTATTTAGGTAAACCAATTCTATTAAAATGGTAGAACCAAGTCGTTTACAACTCGCTGCTGAGGCCAAAAAGGCTAGGCTTCCGGTCCGTTTTTCTAAGTCGTGTGAGAACAAAGGTTCGCCCTAGTGATCTGTTTCAGCTTTTCACAGTCGCCTTTTACGAAGCCCACGGGATGTCATGGGTTACTAAATTCTCGTACGCCGACACTACAGAGCAATCCATATATAGGTTCAGTTAAATATGAGGTACATTATCCTTAGCCACTAACAGCTACTGATACTCCCACAAGCATTAATTGTCGTTATCCTTAGTCACTTGCAGCTGCTGAAACTCTCACAAGCATTAATTGTCCATATCCTTACTTACTTGCAGCTGTTAGAATTTCCACAAGCATTAATTGTCCTTATCCTAAGTCACATACAGCTGCTGGAACTTCCACAAGCATTAATTGTTGTTATCCTTACTCACTTACAGTTGTTAGAATTTCCACAAGCATTAATTGTTCTTATCATTAGTCACATACAGCTGCTGGAACTTCCACAAGCATTAATTGTTGTTATCCTTACTCACTTACAGTTGTTAGAATTTCCACAAGCATTAATTGTTCTTATCATTAGTCACATAAAGCTGCTGGAACTTCCACAAGCATTAATTGTTGTTATCCTTACTCACTTACAGCTGTTAGAATTTCCACAAGCATTAATTGTCCTTATCTTTAGTCACTTACAGCTACTGGAACTTCCACAAGCATTAATTGTCCTTATCCTTAGTTACGTACAGCTTCTGGAATTTCCATAAGCATTCATTGAGCATTATCACCCCAGTTTCCACTGTGACACTCCATACAATAAGCAGCAGTATATCCATTGTTGTTGTGGAATAATTACAGGTATGTAGCATGCCATCTTACTCTTCAACGAGTGTCATGCATCTATAGGGTTTTTATTTGATGATGGTTCCAGGTGTCTTTGGTCTACAGTACAGTACAGTAGCCATACCCTTGGGTAGACTTTTGGCTCGTGTCATTTAAATGTGGTAAAAGAGAAAACTTTTTTTATGTTTATATCTCTGACTTTGTGATTGCTTTGTAATACTCTGTCCACCGCAAATATGGATGTTGCAATGCACTCGAAACATCGGGATTATAAACATAAAAATAAGGAAATTAAATGCGAGAATGTCTTATTTTTACGCGAATAGTATATCTTGAATAAAAAAAATGTGTATTTTATTGAGATTAATTAACTTTTTTTATATTGGGATTGTTATAAACTAATTTGCTTAATTCCGCGTATATATATATATAGTTTATAACAACCCCATTATAATGGATTTCCGCAAAGTAACGCCTGATTCTATAAATTATTTTTTTATATTCCCAACCAATGTTTTACAGTAACCCCTTTTGACGTCATGGTTAACCTGAGCTACGTTTAAGCTATAATTAAACATTATACAGATTACAGAGCAATGAATTAGTTTTATTGTTACAGATATCGACCAACTGGTGACGATATCTGGTATGGTGATCCGTACGTCGGGCATAGTGCCGGAGATGCGCGAGGCGTTCTTCCGGTGCGCGGTGTGCGGGGCGGCGGCCGTCGCGGAGCTGGAGCGCGGCCGCGTGCCCGAGCCGGCGCACTGCTCGCAGTGCAACACGGCCCACTGCTTTCAACTCATACACAACCGCTCGCACTTCAGCGATAAACAACTCGTCAAACTGCAGGAGTCACCCGGTATCTATCACAATTGACATGCTTTAATTCCTTTGGAAAGGGGAGGGAGGAGTTACATGATTTAATTCTTTTGTCGCCTTCCCACAATCGGATAACTGATGGTCAGTGGGTCTTCATCTCTTTGTTGTCAATGTTATTGATATTCGAAACAAACAGTTTGCTACGTCTTTCGTATTGCGTACAGTAAAGGAGTGGAATAATCTGTCAGTGTTTGGCTTTCCGTCCGAATAAAATCTGGACGTCTTCAAGGCAAGAGGGAATAGGATTTTGTTACAGTAAAACTGTGCAATTTATCATTTAGAGCTTAATCACCACTTACCACCTAGTGGGATAGCAATCAAGCACTGCCTTATAATATTAAATAAAGTAAAAAACATAAACTAGATTGAATGTAGCGTGGTGAAAATCTAGTGATTTAAAACCCATGTTGTTTGCCCAGAGGTATAAAGGACAAAATCTTGGTTTTGTTTACAAAATACGATTATATTTTTTTTTTGCTTGATTTATAATTTAATTGTTTTAAAATAACACTTACATTGGTCATTGCTACTTTATGAGGACTGCCTTCCTAAAGTTTGTGCGAAGTTTTACAAACATTTAGAACCCAGAGCAATTATTTGTAGACCATACAAATAACTATTTTATGCGAGATTCGAAACCGCGATCGTCAGCGCCGCATTTCGTGGCTAAGTTACTGCGCAACGGAGTGGTAAAAGTAAAGTTATTTTTTCTATATTTTTTATACAATAAGGGTGATAAACAAGCACACAGTACATCTAATGGTAAGTGAATAATGTGCTCCATAGACATCTGCATTTATTCTCTATTAATCAATATGTAGATGCTTTGTCTAATATCCAGTAAAAAGAGTACTAGTTTTGCCCCACATTCTATTTATCTCTTATTAGAACAGGACAGTAAACATCGTGGGTTCATTCAATCATGTGTTGGTCCGCAGACGACATGCCGGCCGGGCGGACGCCGGCGACGGTGAGCATAATGGCCCACGGCGCGCTGGTGGAGGCGGTGAGCGCGGGCGAGCGCGTGTCGGTGACGGGCGTGTTCCGTGCGGCGCCCGCGCACGTCAACCCGCGCCGCGCCACGCTGCGCGCGCTGCACCGCACGCACGTGGACGCGCTGCACTACCGCACCATGAACAGCGACCGCCTGCTGCACGCTGACTCGTGAGTGTGTGTGTGTGTGTGCACTGTACCCGCTCGCCGCTGCACCGCACGCACGTGGACGCGCTGCACTACCGCACCATGAACAGCGACCGCCTGCTGCACGCTGACTCGTGAGTGTGTGTGTGTGTGTGCACTGTACCCGCTCGCCGCTGCACCGCACGCACGTGGACGCGCTGCACTACCGCACCATGAACAGCGACCGCCTGCTGCACGCCGACTCGTGAGTGTGTGTGTGTGTGTGCACTGTACCCGCTCGCCGCTGCACCGCACGCACCGCACGCACGTGGACGCGCTGCACTACCGCACCATGAACAGCGACCGCCTGCTGCACGCCGACTCGTGAGTGTGTGTGTGTGTGCACTGTACCCGCTCGCCGCTGCACCGCACGCACCGCACGCACGTGGACGCGCTGCACTACCGCACCATGAACAGCGACCGCCTGCTGCACGCCGACTCGTGAGTGTGTGTGTGTGTGTGCACTGTACCCGCTCGCCGCTGCACCGCACGCACGTGGACGCGCTGCACTACCGCACCATGAACAGCGACCGCCTGCTGCACGCCGACTCGTGAGTGTGTGTGTGTGTGTGCACTGTACCCGCTCGCCGCTGCACCGCACGCACGTGGACGCGCTGCACTACCGCACCATGAACAGCGACCGCCTGCTGCACGCCGACTCGTGAGTGTGTGTGTGTGTGCACTGTACCCGCTCGCCGCTGCACCGCACGCACGTGGACGCGCTGCACTACCGCACCATGAACAGCGACCGCCTGCTGCACGCCGACTCGTGAGTGTGTGTGTGTGTGTGCACTGTACCCGCTCGCCGCTGCACCGCACGCACATGGACGCGCTGCACTACCGCACCATGAACAGCGACCGCCTGCTGCACGCCGACTCGTGAGTGTGTGTGTGTGTGTGTGCACTGTACCCGCTCGCCGCTGCACCGCACGCACGTGGACGCGCTGCACTACCGCACCATGAACAGCGACCGCCTGCTGCACGCTGACTCGTGAGTGTGTGTGTGTGTGTGCACTGTACCCGCTCGCCGCTGCACCGCACGCACGTGGACGCGCTGCACTACCGCACCATGAACAGCGACCGCCTGCTGCACGCCGACTCGTGAGTGTGTGTGTGTGTGTGCACTGTACCCGCTCGCCGCTGCACCGCACGCACCGCACGCACGTGGACGCGCTGCACTACCGCACCATGAACAGCGACCGCCTGCTGCACGCCGACTCGTGAGTGTGTGTGTGTGTGCACTGTACCCGCTCGCCGCTGCACCGCACGCACCGCACGCACGTGGACGCGCTGCACTACCGCACCATGAACAGCGACCGCCTGCTGCACGCCGACTCGTGAGTGTGTGTGTGTGTGTGCACTGTACCCGCTCGCCGCTGCACCGCACGCACGTGGACGCGCTGCACTACCGCACCATGAACAGCGACCGCCTGCTGCACGCCGACTCGTGAGTGTGTGTGTGTGTGTGCACTGTACCCGCTCGCCGCTGCACCGCACGCACGTGGACGCGCTGCACTACCGCACCATGAACAGCGACCGCCTGCTGCACGCCGACTCGTGAGTGTGTGTGTGTGTGCACTGTACCCGCTCGCCGCTGCACCGCACGCACGTGGACGCGCTGCACTACCGCACCATGAACAGCGACCGCCTGCTGCACGCCGACTCGTGAGTGTGTGTGTGTGTGCACTGTACCCGCTCGCCGCTGCACCGCACGCACCGCACGCACGTGGACGCGCTGCACTACCGCACCATGAACAGCGACCGCCTGCTGCACGCCGACTCGTGAGTGTGTGTGTGTGTGTGCACTGTACCCGCTCGCCGCTGCACCGCACGCACGTGGACGCGCTGCACTACCGCACCATGAACAGCGACCGCCTGCTGCACGCCGACTCGTGAGTGTGTGTGTGTGTGTGCACTGTACCCGCTCGCCGCTGCACCGCACGCACGTGGACGCGCTGCACTACCGCACCATGAACAGCGACCGCCTGCTGCACGCCGACTCGTGAGTGTGTGTGTGTGTGCACTGTACCCGCTCGCCGCTGCACCGCACGCACGTGGACGCGCTGCACTACCGCACCATGAACAGCGACCGCCTGCTGCACGCCGACTCGTGAGTGTGTGTGTGTGTGTGCACTGTACCCGCTCGCCGCTGCACCGCACGCACATGGACGCGCTGCACTACCGCACCATGAACAGCGACCGCCTGCTGCACGCCGACTCGTGAGTGTGTGTGTGTGTGTGTGCACTGTACCCGCTCGCCGCTGCACCGCACGCACGTGGACGCGCTGCACTACCGCACCATGAACACCGACCGCCTGCTGCACGCCGACTCGTGAGTGTGTGTGTGTGTGCACTGTACCCGCTCGCCGCTGCACCGCACGCACGTGGACGCGCTGCACTACCGCACCATGAACAGCGACCGCCTGCTGCACGCCGACTCGTGAGTGTGTGTGTGTGTGCACTGTACCCGCTCGCCGCTGCACCGCACGCACCGCACGCACGTGGACGCGCTGCACTACCGCACCATGAACAGCGACCGCCTGCTGCACGCCGACTCGTGAGTGTGTGTGTGTGTGTGCACTGTACCCGCTCGCCGCTGCACCGCACGCACGTGGACGCGCTGCACTACCGCACCATGAACAGCGACCGCCTGCTGCACGCCGACTCGTGAGTGTGTGTGTGTGTGTGCACTGTACCCGCTCGCCGCTGCACCGCACGCACGTGGACGCGCTGCACTACCGCACCATGAACAGCGACCGCCTGCTGCACGCCGACTCGTGAGTGTGTGTGTGTGTGCACTGTACCCGCTCGCCGCTGCACCGCACGCACCGCACGCACGTGGACGCGCTGCACTACCGCACCATGAACAGCGACCGCCTGCTGCACGCCGACTCGTGAGTGTGTGTGTGTGTGTGCACTGTACCCGCTCGCCGCTGCACCGCACGCACGTGGACGCGCTGCACTACCGCACCATGAACAGCGACCGCCTGCTGCACGCCGACTCGTGAGTGTGTGTGTGTGTGTGCACTGTACCCGCTCGCCGCTGCACCGCACGCACGTGGACGCGCTGCACTACCGCACCATGAACACCGACCGCCTGCTGCACGCCGACTCGTGAGTGTGTGTGTGTGTGCACTGTACCCGCTCGCCGCTGCACCGCACGCACGTGGACGCGCTGCACTACCGCACCATGAACAGCGACCGCCTGCTGCACGCCGACTCGTGAGTGTGTGTGTGTGTGCACTGTACCCGCTCGCCGCTGCACCGCACGCACCGCACGCACGTGGACGCGCTGCACTACCGCACCATGAACAGCGACCGCCTGCTGCACGCCGACTCGTGAGTGTGTGTGTGTGTGTGCACTGTACCCGCTCGCCGCTGCACCGCACGCACGTGGACGCGCTGCACTACCGCACCATGAACAGCGACCGCCTGCTGCACGCCGACTCGTGAGTGTGTGTGTGTGTGTGCACTGTACCCGCTCGCCGCTGCACCGCACGCACGTGGACGCGCTGCACTACCGCACCATGAACAGCGACCGCCTGCTGCACGCCGACTCGTGAGTGTGTGTGTGTGTGCACTGTACCCGCTCGCCGCTGCACCGCACGCACCGCACGCACGTGGACGCGCTGCACTACCGCACCATGAACAGCGACCGCCTGCTGCACGCCGACTCGTGAGTGTGTGTGTGTGTGTGCACTGTACCCGCTCGCCGCTGCACCGCACGCACGTGGACGCGCTGCACTACCGCACCATGAACAGCGACCGCCTGCTGCACGCCGACTCGTGAGTGTGTGTGTGTGTGTGCACTGTACCCGCTCGCCGCTGCACCGCACGCACGTGGACGCGCTGCACTACCGCACCATGAACAGCGACCGCCTGCTGCACGCCGACTCGTGAGTGTGTGTGTGTGTGCACTGTACCCGCTCGCCGCTGCACCGCACGCACGTGGACGCGCTGCACTACCGCACCATGAACAGCGACCGCCTGCTGCACGCCGACTCGTGAGTGTGTGTGTGTGTGTGCACTGTACCCGCTCGCCGCTGCACCGCACGCACATGGACGCGCTGCACTACCGCACCATGAACAGCGACCGCCTGCTGCACGCCGACTCGTGAGTGTGTGTGTGTGTGTGCACTGTACCCGCTCGCCGCTGCACCGCACGCACGTGGACGCGCTGCACTACCGCACCATGAACAGCGACCGCCTGCTGCACGCCGACTCGTGAGTGTGTGTGTGTGTGTGCACTGTACCCGCTCGCCGCTGCACCGCACGCACATGGACGCGCTGCACTACCGCACCATGAACAGCGACCGCCTGCTGCACGCCGACTCGTGAGTGTGTGTGTGTGTGTGCACTGTACCCGCTCGCCGCTGCACCGCACGCACCGCACGCACGTGGACGCGCTGCACTACCGCACCATGAACAGCGACCGCCTGCTGCACGCCGACTCGTGAGTGTGTGTGTGTGTGCACTGTACCCGCTCGCCGCTGCACCGCACGCACCGCACGCACGTGGACGCGCTGCACTACCGCACCATGAACAGCGACCGCCTGCTGCACGCCGACTCGTGAGTGTGTGTGTGTGTGTGTGTGCACTGTACCCGCTCGCCGCTGCACCGCACGCACGTGGACGCGCTGCACTACCGCACCATGAACAGCGACCGCCTGCTGCACGCCGACTCGTGAGTGTGTGTGTGTGTGTGCACTGTACCCGCTCGCCGCTGCACCGCACGCACGTGGACGCGCTGCACTACCGCACCATGAACAGCGACCGCCTGCTGCACGCCGACTCGTGAGTGTGTGTGTGTGTGTGCACTGTACCCGCTCGCCGCTGCACCGCACGCACGTGGACGCGCTGCACTACCGCACCATGAACAGCGACCGCCTGCTGCACGCCGACTCGTGAGTGTGTGTGTGTGTGTGCACTGTACCCGCTCGCCGCTGCACCGCACGCACATGGACGCGCTGCACTACCGCACCATGAACAGCGACCGCCTGCTGCACGCCGACTCGTGAGTGTGTGTGTGTGTGTGCACTGTACCCGCTCGCCGCTGCACCGCACGCACGTGGACGCGCTGCACTACCGCACCATGAACACCGACCGCCTGCTGCACGCCGACTCGTGAGTGTGTGTGTGTGTGCACTGTACCCGCTCGCCGCTGCACCGCACGCACGTGGACGCGCTGCACTACCGCACCATGAACAGCGACCGCCTGCTGCACGCCGACTCGTGAGTGTGTGTGTGTGTGCACTGTACCCGCTCGCCGCTGCACCGCACGCACGTGGACGCGCTGCACTACCGCACCATGAACAGCGACCGCCTGCTGCACGCCGACTCGTGAGTGTGTGTGTGTGTGTGTGCACTGTACCCGCTCGCCGCTGCACCGCACGCACCGCACGCACGTGGACGCGCTGCACTACCGCACCATGAACAGCGACCGCCTGCTGCACGCCGACTCGTGAGTGTGTGTGTGTGTGCACTGTACCCGCTCGCCGCTGCACCGCACGCACCGCACGCACGTGGACGCGCTGCACTACCGCACCATGAACAGCGACCGCCTGCTGCACGCCGACTCGTGAGTGTGTGTGTGTGTGTGTGCACTGTACCCGCTCGCCGCTGCACCGCACGCACCGCACGCACGTGGACGCGCTGCACTACCGCACCATGAACAGCGACCGCCTGCTGCACGCCGACTCGTGAGTGTGTGTGTGTGTGTGCACTGTACCCGCTCGCCGCTGCACCGCACGCACGTGGACGCGCTGCACTACCGCACCATGAACAGCGACCGCCTGCTGCACGCCGACTCGTGAGTGTGTGTGTGTGTGTGCACTGTACCCGCTCGCCGCTGCACCGCACGCACGTGGACGCGCTGCACTACCGCACCATGAACAGCGACCGCCTGCTGCACGCCGACTCGTGAGTGTGTGTGTGTGTGCACTGTACCCGCTCGCCGCTGCACCGCACGCACGTGGACGCGCTGCACTACCGCACCATGAACAGCGACCGCCTGCTGCACGTCGACTCGTGAGTGTGTGTGTGTGTGTCTGTGTATCTCAGCGCGCGCGCGTGTGCATGTGTGTTTACGGTCGTCTACATTTTTTTCTTTTGATATGTCCACTGGTAGACATAGCCCAATGTTGTGTTCACGTATTTGGTCTAGGTATTACATGTGGTATAAATAGGAGACGGGTTATGCTGCCCGCTACATCACGTATTTCAACCTAGCACGGCACTACGAGATTTAATTTTTTTGTGGAACTCTAACATCAGTGATACATTTCACTTTATACAAATTTTCAAATCGACCTAATTAATAAATGACATTAGCATAAAAATGATTGCTAACACACAGTTTTTTTGTTTAAATCTATTTTCCAAAAATATTCTTTATTTTTCCAGGAAGGATCAACGCTTTCCACCGGAGCGCATAGAACTTTTTAAAGCTTTATCGCAGCAGGCCGATTGTTATGAGCGGCTTGCCCGTGCAATTGCTCCCTCTATATACGAGAATCTCGATATTAAGAAGGGTGTCTTGTTGCAACTTCTTGGCGGGACCAAGAAGAATTTTAATGCTGCTGGACGGACACATTTTAGGTTAGTAATATATTTTTAACTTACTGAGTTTTATTGCCTATGTGGAAACAGAAATTCCTTTATGTTCTTGTGGTAAAAAGTATTATAATTACCATGATAGATGGCCCGGCAGACGTTAATTTGTCCTTCTGGTAGGTAGTGCGATGAGTATCATTCCGAATTCATTTTGGACATTTTAGCGTCACCTATCGGGTCCAGATTTTGCAATATTTTGGCACTAAACTGAATTCGAGACTTTGTTAATAACTTGATTACAGTGCCACCCAGCATAGCTATGGACTATGGACGACGAAAAAAAATTATTGTGTGAATATGACCTCAATCCGTTAAGTCGTTTAGAAGTAACACTATCAGTAATAGATACACTAACAATTAATGAAAAATGATTTTCTCGTGCTAAAAAGTATCCTGTTCCAACGAACAGCCAACCTTCGTAAATCAAGGGCTAGGTTAATCTGTGTGCTAAATTTCATTTAAATCCAATTATGCATGAATGAATCATAAAATTAACAACATCTTCAAGAACTATAATATTGTTATAGATTTGTCTAGATTGATTTGAAAATTATCCACATAAAATTTGTATAGCAAGTGATGGTGATTCAATAACAAACTGAATGTGCCTGCTTTGACATTACTAAAATCTAAAAAATTTATTGCAGTTGAAAGGAGAAAAACGACATTTTGATCGATTAATTTTTAACTCTAATCAAATCTACGACGATTTCATCTCAGTATATTGAAGAAACTGAGTTATGTTAACATAATATAGTTATTATACTTTTATATTGTATGTATTGGGTCACATCCATAAATTAATATTTAAACAACAAAAGCCATGTCACGTCATTGGGGCGGAGCTTAAGAGGCGTATTCAAGTCAATCCGCCTGCTAAACGTGACGATTAAAGCCTCCCTAAATAGCTTATGAGGTCAAATGTACATAAGACTGATATGACTTTAAAATATTGCGACATTCTGCGAATGAGGACCTTGTAAAACGCATCTACATTGTCTTGACGCAGTCTATTATGATTTACTGCATTCCTGTATGGCGTGGTGCTTCCAAAATTAAATTCTTAGAAACTTTAGAACGTACGCACGGCGCACTTTTGAAGGTCATGTTTTTCAAAAAACGTAGGTACCACACCCTTGCCCCCTGTGCCTGCAGATTTGTTGCACTTTGGAAATTATATACCTTGCAGTTTTTACGAGACAACAATTTAATAACCTGTCGTGCCAACTATATAATTAGGTCAATAAAACACTTAATATTTATACCAAATCAATTTTTGAATGCATAGATCAGATCTTAAAATGGCTTAAGCCACTCACTTATGAGGAAGTTGGGGGCATGATTAGGTTGCAATCATAGATTTACCACGCACGCACACGCACGCACGCACGCACGCACGCACACGCACGCACACGCACGCACACACGCACGCACGCACACACGCACACGCACGCACGCACGCACGCACGCACACACACACACACACACACACACACACACACACACACACACGCACGCACGCACGCATACCTTATTTTTAAATTATTATCTTATTTAAACTGTAGTATAAATGTATGTTGTAAAACTGTTTTTGGGCCTGAATTCCTCTTACACTGACGTTGGTCGCGTACGTCTGTTGCGCGTAATAATATACTTTGTGTTCTATAAAGCCCCACACTACGTCGATATCGATACGGAACGTGTTATTGATGAGGTGCGCTAACGTACTGCATTATGGGATCCATCTAATAATTTGTACAAAGATTGTGATGCGAGAGCAAAATATTGGGTAGAAGTTTTCGAGGCTTTTTTTCCTGATTACAATAATCAGGACGATAGTAAAAAAAAGGAGATCGGTAAGTAAAAGACAATGTTAATAATCATAAATATTTTACTAATAAAAACAAATACTAATTTAATTTTTACATAGGTACTAGTCTGAGCATAGGTATTTACTTATTACCCGGTTTAACCCTGAACGAATCCTATTCACAAGTATTTTTTTATAGGATGTGGTGACAAACAAGCACACAGTCCACCTGATGGGAAGTGGTAGCTGTGACCCATAGACATCTACATCTATCCTCAATAAAGGATCAAAATGCAGATGCATTTCACCCGTGAGTACTAAGATGGAATGTCTCTTTTCCAGTACATAGATAGAAATAACGTTAGATATTATTGATAAATCTAAAAAGAAAAGTAGGGTCATTAATTTGTGAAATAAAAATAATCTATAGCTTATAGTCACCTTACCTAATAGTCATATTAATATTTGCCGAAAAAAGTATTCAATAAAGAAAAAACAATATTGTTTTTGTTTATCTATTTTTTGATATTGAATTGACACAGTTTAGATGTTATTTCTTATTGAATGTATTTGATTTTGCTGTGGCAAAGAACCGTCCAGTGAAATAAAGTAGTTAGCGAATATGTCCCTTATAGTATTCTGACCGATTTATAGTGTTATTGCTAGTTAGAGAAACATATTCTAAACCAACAATTGACATAGTATCAATAACATCATATCTGTCACGTAGTCTTACAAAGTTATGTAATACACAACAAGCTTTGACTATTTTGATGCTGTTAGTCAATGAAGTCCTTATTAGGTCTATGAAATATTTCAAATTTATTAGACATAATACCGAAAGTAGATTCTGTGTAACGTCTCGCTCTACTAAGACGGTAGTTGAATTTTTTTTTTCTTGTGAGTCATATTGCTACGAGCGTATGGTCTTAAAACGTGACGTGATATTCCAAACGCTGCATTACCTACAATCATATAAGGGAACGATGTCCGGCTGCTACTTAATTGTCTCGGTCCCGGCAGATTTATTTCGCCACTGCAATTTTGCAAACAAATTACTGAAAAATTGTTGAGTCAGAATCTGTTCCATAAGGACCCACATTAATATACGTAAAGCAATAATTGGCCACCATAGCCAACAGAACGATTGAATAATATTTTTTATAATTACAGAATAAACTCCCACTGTGTGTGGGGTGGGACAAATAATTCGGACGTGCTTGCCGTCTATCGCTCCAACACAATTCGGAAAATTTGCTTGTGATTCAAAACCCTTGGCGATTCTCAACCAATCTTCACGTAACGATGGCAATATTTATTCGTCGTAAAGAACATTCCAAACTTTTGTACACATTTATGGGACGATTTTGCCAATATAGGAATGTAGGAATTGCCGGTCGCGAGGAATCTGGAAAATGTAATAATATACCTATTAATTTTATTTGCATTTTTTATTACAGAGAAAATAGTACAGCAACGTTGGAAAACTGCGAGATGCATATATGCGTTGTAAAAATGTCTTAAAATGGACTCCCTCAGGATCAGGAGGTTGTAAAAAAAAAGGTGTACATTTACTTTGACGAAATGAAATATCTTGATAAGAAACACCAAGTTAAAATTGAAGACTCTATTGAAAGTAATCAGAATAGCACAAACAATCAGGACATGCCAAATCCGTCAAATGAGTACATATCAAGGAGGACGGAATTTGAAGTAAATACACACAATCACAGACCAGTATTTCTCAAGAAAATTCTACCAACACATTTTCAAATTTACGTAATAAATATTGTAATAATAAAATCAGCGAAAAAGGAAACAAACCGACATTGACGATTTCGATAGACAGATGGTAATAATGTTCAGAGAAAATGCCAAAATGTTAAAAAATGATGATATGAATAGTCTCTTCTACCAATAACAGAAAAGTTTGCAATTCATCAAAAATTGATATTCCGTACAGAAGTGCTAAAAAAGCAATGGAAATTGGTAATAGTAAAGTAGACCCAATTCTCAACATTCTGATTTGATTTTTCATCAAGATTCCATCAACGTATTACTGGAATGTTAAACTTCTCCTGAAATATCAAACACAAAAACGTGTGATATACGAAGTGCAGGGAGCACTGGAAATTGTACTTTAACACCAAATTCCGAAACCCAAACATACCAAACTGTTCTTGGAATTACAGGGAACACCAACGAAGACAAGTAAAAACTACTTTTCTACAAAAATAATAAAAAGCTATAAATAAAATGTCTTGTTTTATTTCCTATATTCCAATAATAAATTGACTTACCTCAAAGTAACAGCAAGTCGTTCCACTAGTGGTATAATGTCTCGATATATGAAGCAGTGTTTCCGATGGTGTCCTAACTTTGATAACATTTTATCAAAAGTTTTAACAATCATTCTAAAATAATTAAAAAACTTTTCCACGTCTTCACGTAGCTTTTCTAATAATATAGACAATTCGCCTTTAATCGCTCTTTCAGCAAGAATGGGGTGAATGTGATACACAGAACACTAATACCCTATGTGATATCTTTATCTACGTTGACACCGTCTTCGTTTGCGAAAGGTTGCTATAGCTACCAAACAATTTCTAAATGGGTACATTATCATCAATCCACTTCGCAGACGACTGTACCGTAGAGCGCTCGTATCGCACTATGGTATTTTATTTCTCGCTGACGAACGCGATCGACCGTACGCAACCGACGTCAGCGTAGGAGGAATTCAGGCCTTGCAAGAGCGGAGTTTCCTAGGACAAGCAATTTATTTAGCTTAAAAGGAATCTCCAAACATAGCATACTTGTGTTTTTAGGCTTAGTTATTGAAATAAAGATTTTTATTTTTTTACTGCATGGGGCTTAAACCCCTTTGCCGGCCCTTTGGAAGGGAAGTAACAAAAAAATCTAGCAGAGGAATTCGGGCTGATGAAGAAGAAGAAGGGTCATACATTTGATTGCACACTATTAAATTAATACATTTCACGTTCTTGGATACCAAACAGTGAAGTTCAACATTGTTCAAATCGTATAACTGTATTTTAACAACACAACACAATTTAGGTCTGAAATTAACATCCTGCTTTGCGGTGACCCTGGCACAAGCAAGTCGCAGTTGTTACGTTGGGTGCACGGGTTAGTTCCCCGTGCGCAGTATACTTCGGGACGTGGCTCTTCCGCCGTCGGGCTCACAGCATACGTCACCAAGGATCCCGACACCAGACAGCTGGTGCTGCAGACGTTAGTACATCACTATATATTCAATGCCCTAAGCCGGTTTGTTCTAAAGTTGAATGAAATGTAAGAGTCACATTCATTTATTATATAGGCTATCAAAAGTCCACCGCTGAACATGTTTCCCCTATAGATTTACACATACGGGGGATATTTGTCATAGTTGTCACTTGTTATAAAGAATATCCTATTTCAGTACAGTCTCTTACGACACCCATAGGATGACTTGAGGTAGAAGATTGGTAAGACACCAAGCTCTTTAACTTTTTATTTGATACTGTAAAAAAGGAAAAAGCAGCAACGTCATACAGAATACCAGCATAAAATAGCAGCTTTATACTGTGGTGTTATTTATTGTGAGTCTAGTGAACCGAACACCCATCTTGATGGTTACAAGGCGTTCCATCTTAGTCCTCAGGGGTCACAACATATTTGTATTTTGTCTAATCCAAATGAGTCCCCCAAAAACTTGTGGGGGTAAAAAGATCAAGTTTGTTCGACATATTCTTTTAATTTCTAAAAGTACAAAAATTGCGATTTTCGAATACTACCAGCACTCGCACATCGTTCACACCGTTTCGTGTCTTAACCTCGACTCCTTTCTCCCTCACATTCAATGTTACTATGTTCAACCACTTTTGTTAAAATCAACTGGTTTTCATTCATGCACGGTAATGAATGATGCAAATTTACTAACTGGTGTAAATCTGGTGTAAGCTCAAAACAACTGAGTTAACTTTTTATTTTTTCTCTTAAATTACAGTGGTGCATTGGTGTTAGCTGATAATGGTATATGCTGTATTGATGAGTTCGATAAAATGAATGATTCTACGCGTAGTGTACTACATGAAGTAAGTTTAATTCGTAAATTATGTAAAACCTGGCAACTTTGCCATTTTTGGAAGGACTTAAAAGTTTTGAACCAATTTTCCAACAAATAATGTACTATCAGACTGGGCGTCAATGTTAAATGTGACATTATATTCTTCTTAGATTTGGAATTTATTAGTGATTTAAACAAACACTGACATTAAATAGACAAAATAATCAAAAATAGAAAATGGCAAAGTTAACCTCACTTTGTGCCAACTTTGCCATCGGGGCTTATTTTGATTTGCTCCTTTAATTGTGTTGCAAATAGCAAAGTTTACACTTGTGGTAAAGTTGCCTTCCCATTTTTCAATGTTTCATACCAACTTGAAAATTTGTGTCAGGGTTGTCAAAAATCCTTGATTACGTACTTTACTTTATTTTTTATTTAAATCTTGTTACAATAGTATCTTAAGCAAAGATCTAATATATATCATACAAAAATACTCTCGTTTAAAGTTTAAAATCAAATTGGTGCAATAATTAGCTTAAATCAGTTATAGTATAGATAAAAAAGCTTGTTACAATTATTTTTAACAAGTATTCGTCTTTTTAGTAGTCATCATCATCAAATGGTGTTAGGTAAAAAAAATTATTATTTTAATCAATGTAAATATTGTTTTCCCACAATATTAAAACATTCATAATCATTAAAAATTACACTGTTTTTGGGTGCAAATTAATATCAATACACTAAGTAGAAATTCTGAAAAATACTGAGTAGTAATATTATTCATGCCCAACAATGCAGTAAAAATAATATAGATCTCTTTTATTTTTCTACACTTTTGATAAAGATTAGTTGATTGATTAATCATTTGGTAAAATCGGTCTAAAGGGCTGCTACGGTGAAACATGCAAACCACGTTTGCATGTTTCCACCGCCACGCTGTTCTTATAGTTTTTTATTATTATTATGGTTTTAACATAAATGGGTCTACCGGGGTAGGACAGGACCACGCTCTCACAGTATACCAGCGTAAAATAGCAGCTTAATGCTGCTGTGTTTCGTATGGTGAGTGTAGATAACCAGAGACCCTTTTCACTCGAAATGAGGCATTCCATCTTAATCCTCAGGGGTAACAAACACATCTGCATTTTGATTTGCAAAGGAGGATAGGTGTGGATGTGTATGAGCTACGGCAACCACTTACCATCAGGTGGACTGTGTGCTCGTTTGTCGCCCATATTCTATAAAAAAACATCAATACAAACATAAATACATAAACTGTCAAGTACAGAACCCTTTCTTTAAATAGTCGTAATCGGTTTAAATATAGGATGAAAGTGACAACCCTTGGTTGTATCAAAACCTGACAAAGTAACCGTCACATCGTGGCATAACTAGTATGGTAGCTTTACAAGTTAAAACGTTAAAAACCACGTTAAAATCGATATATTACATTTGATAACGTTAATATTACGTTACTACAGAGATATAGATCCCGTACTTACATTCAGTATTTCGAACAAAATCCGCGATAAAATGCCAAAATGAACTCTCATGTTGCCATATCGAAAGCAATGCTGTCAATTAGTTATTGTATTTTTATTCAAAAAATGGCATAATATCTCGAAAAACCTTACGTTTTCCTTGTTAATCGTAATTTTGTACAAGTACACCCCTGATGGCAAAGTTAACTTCCATTGGTAAGGTTGTCAGACTTGACTGTAATACTACTGTTTGATATGTTTTTTATATTAAATTTTACTGCTGAACATAGATCTCCCCACTAGATTGCTTTATTGGGGAGGATATTTGCAATAGTCGCCACACTTGGCAGGCGGGTTCGCAATTGCAAATTTTTATTTTATAGTTGTTATTAGGAAGGTGCTGCTGCCCACCCCCTGGTTTGTTTCCTTCTGTTGCCACCTACAACACCCGCAATATATTACAATATTACAAACATTTTGGTTGATATATCAAATTAAAAGGTTTCATATAATATTATGTTACAAAACCTTGGATGACAAAGGTTTTTACAATCGTCAATAATGCAGTATATTATTACCAATAATAAAAATGCCTTAATTGTTTTACAATCATGAGTTCTGAGTCTCCTGCGTCTATCGACTTCAGGTAAGCAGAGGCAGCCCCTCTCTAGATGGAGTTACGACCGTGTAAAAGATGCGGGAGGTCGAAAGATGCAGGTGGCTCAAGACCGTGCTGACTGGGTGAGGTCTATGTTCAGCTGTGGACTTGTGAAGGACTGCAAGATGATGTTTTTCATTAAAGAATTGCTATTGTTTTAGGTAATGGAGCAACAGACGTTATCAATCGCTAAAGCGGGTATTATCTGTCAACTGAACGCTCGGACATCAATATTGGCTGCTGCCAACCCAGCTGAATCACAGTGGAACAAAAATAAGACCATAGTTGAAAATGTTCAGTTGCCACACACTCTAATGTCCAGGTATGTTGTTACAATATATTAGGATTAAATAATAAATGTTGACCTAAATATAGGGTAAACAAATATAATGAATTATTTAAACAAAACTATTTTATTACTATTGAAAAAAATCTGAAAATAATAACAATAAACTTGGTACAGCTGAGGAAAAATTTCACCCTTTTCCACCAAATGCCAAGAGATCTCATATCACTACATTGTGGTGGGCTTTTACGTGGTTAGTCAGTCACACTGCAGTGTTTTATGATCGCAGCATGAATTAATTGGCTCGACTGCAGAAGGCTGATGACTTACACATAATGTCATTGTAAAATAGCAGCATTATTCTGCCGTATTAGTAATAATGCATTCCATTTTAGTCCACAAATCCTTATTACTGGTAGCGAGGCATTCCATCTTAGTCCACAGGGTGACAACGCATGTGCATTTTAATTCATAATTGAGGGTAGATTTAAGAGGACAAAAGCATGCACTTACCACCAGGTGAACTGTGCTCGTTTACCTTGTTTGTCACTCTTAACTTTTATAATTTAATCTTTGTCCTTGAACACCTCTGAGTAAAACTCAAGGATATCTGAGGATTAAGGTGGAATGCCTTGGCATCAGTAAAAAGAGACTTCGTTTGTAGTCACTCACACATGAAACTCTGCAGCACACATTTAATAGCTGTTATTTGACTCTCGTATTTAGTGGAGCTTATATGCTGCAATGTAGCTCTACCATATACATATGACACATTAATGCAGATCATCATTAACAGTGCAATGGTATCTTTTCTACGAGTGCCAACCCACTTGCCCAGTGTGGTGATTTCTTTACAAATCAAGTAATGCTCTATTTACAAAACGATACATTAGACCATTCTGCCCCGTGTGTCATTAGAACCGACTATAAGAAGTGCTAGGAAAAATCTTAAGGTTTTCGATATATGATTCTGATTTCAATTTTGTACGTGGGAGAGCCACGCTGCAGCTGTATTATGGTTGTAGTACGAATGGGTCGGCTCGACCGAGGAAGGACCACATTCTCACAGAATACCAGCGTAAAATAGAAGCTTAATACTGCTGTGTTTCATATGATGAGTGTGGAGAACCGGAGACCCTTTTCACTGGAAACGAGGCATTTCATTGTAGTCTTCAGGGGTGACAACGCATCTGCATTTTGATTCTTAATAGAAAATAAATGTAGATGTCTATCGGCCACAGTATCCAATTACAATCAAGTGGACCGTGTGCTCGTTTGTAAACCCAATTCTATACAGAAAGCACCAGTCTAACTATTACTAACAGTTGGTCGCAGTCGTGCGGTGCTGGCCGAGATATAGGGTGAGCAGTTTCCGCTAGGGTTGTCCTGTCACGCAAATAAATTAAAATTGTTCACACTACATGTGCGGTAAAAAACTGTGGGTCGTTCTCATTTAAAGATAAGGAATTATTTTCATAAGTTTCCACATACACATTAATTTGTTTAAACGTTACGTTACTTCCTGTGCAATCGTCAATTAATTACCCTATCAATTTATTGTTTATGTCGGCTTTTCCGACAACATCAAACACGATGACTTCTGACTGATAAAGAACATACAATCATGTTCTTCTTAGTCTTTACCTTTTAAGATACAATTTTAGCAGTATTTATAAAACAGATTTTTGTTTTGTGTACAGGTTTGATCTAATATTCTTAGTACTGGATCCACAAGATGACGCTTTCGATAGGCGTCTAGCATCGCATCTGGTATCATTGTACTACAAAGACCCCTCTGACACCCAGGAAGATGAGGACGTTGTTGTAAGTTTCAATATTGCAATATAAATTTAATACATTTTGAATTATATATGATGATCATTATCATCATTGTAATTTTACTAAAGGTTATTTACAGAGATTCACAAACTTTTTCTGTTCGCGGCACACTTACGCAGCTAGTTGAAATAGGGTGCATTGATACGACACTGAAAGTTCTTAGAAAATAAAAAACTGAACAAACTAGCAAGTTATTAGTTTTATTATATCTTTTGAAAATAGTGTCCATTTACATCAATACATCGCTGCCTCCGATGGAACCACTGAGAAAAGCACTTTGCCCACTCGTTCTTGGTTTCTTTAACGGCATTTTGAAACACATCCACTGCTTCCTCGGCGTCCATAAAACGTTTTCCTCGAAGTTTTTCTTTTATTTTCGGAAATAAATAAAAATCGCAAGGTGCGAGGTCGGGGCTATAGGCCAGGTGACCCACTAATTCCACGTCTGACGTTGCCAAGTAGTCGATTGTTTGCTTGGCGTTGTGCGACGAGGCGTTGTCGTGGTGAAGGAGGATCCTACTGCGAGGTCGTTACTTCCGAACTTTTCCCAAGACAAGTGGCAAACAATTGTTAGTGTACCACTCTACAGTAACTGTTTTTCGATCTAAATAAATACTACGAAATACTTAGCTTTCCTTTTTCCCCTATTTTTTTTTACTGGCCAATTGAGATTCTGACATGGTTATTAAAAGAAAGATGTGGTCACTTGCGCATTTGCGGTGAATACACCCACCCGTACCCGTGATGTAGACCCTCAATGATATGGTCAGAAATTGTGTGATCGTGTTAGAGAATTTTTGCCAAAACCAGTGGTAAAGTAAAAAAATACTCAATAAGAAATACATATTATCGATATTGTAAGAAATTATTCTATTCTATGGGAAAAATGTGGCAAAGCGAATTTATGATGCAGAAGTTAAAGAAGAAATTTGATGACCAAATTGGCGGTATATTGAATAATACCAAATTAAGAGTACCCTTTACTGACGAGCATATAAGCGTTATGTACATGAAAGAAGGAGGAGAGGTGTGTTAGGATCGTGCCACATAGAAGTCTGCCTACCTCTCTGTGTGTCAGGCGTGATCTTTGCTTACCCCTCTGAGTAAATCGTTTGAGAGCGTATGTTTTTTATGTAGTGTAGTGTATATTTGCATTTATTTCAGAACATGGGTTTGATGCGCGACTACATCGCGTTCGCTAAAGAACACGTGCAGCCAACTCTCAGTGAGGCGGCGCAGCAGAGGCTTATTGACGCATACGTTGATATGAGGTACAGTATTTCGCATTCCTCATCATCGTCAGTCCGATAATAGGCGGGTTATTCCGTTTATCCACCCTAGACGGGGTGGATAGTCGGAAATGACTTTTTGATTGTTGTTCCGCCTTTCAACCCCAAGTACAGAAAAATAATAATATACTTTAATATATTATTAATTAATTTTTAATAACCACAAAGTTAAACAAAAATCATATTACGTATTACATTTAAACCAAATTAAACATTTCGTTTTAAATAATAATAAGTAATTTATAAATTCTACTATATGTCCAGGAAATGACTAACACTTAAGAATTTCATTATTGAGTAGACGTAATTGTATGTGCTGTCTTAATTTGTTTCTTTGTACATTTGCAATCGTTTTCTAAATTTCTTTGTTACAGCCTTAGACTATTTGTAAATAATCTAAGGTTACAACAGATGTGTTAGCAAAAAACTGAATGTTTTCTTGCAAGCAATCCAAAAACTACTAAATTTGGATGCTTGTCTTAAATTTCATTTGATATTGTTTTGTGGAACAATCCGAATGAATTCCAAACAGCCACGTAATTTACATCCTTGAGCTAGGTCTTTCTATAGTAATTCACAAACGTCATATTAGCATCATTATTCAATGACGTAAATTATGTCACATAGTATGATGTGTAATTGAACAATTAAAAGTATTTCAGTTTTGACCCTTAAACAAGAAGTATGTATGTATTTTTATAAGTATGCTAATGTCTACTAAGTAATCTTAGGCCAGTTTCTATTATGTTTTTTATAAACGACTATGCACAGCCGAGGGAGAAAATCGGAAGAAAAATAATTTATGAATTCCGACTATCCACTCTAGGGTGGATAAACGGAATAACCCTAAAAGTCATGGATAAATGATAAAATAGGCGCGCGATCTGAAAAGGGTGGAAAATTGTTGAAATTAATTGAAAAAACAATTCTAGAGCGAAGTAGGATTTGCTAAGAAGTTCTAAATCTTAATATTTAACATTTATTTATTTGTACGAATCACTAGTTAACTACTAAGTCAATATTTTCAATGCGTTGGAAAACTGACTTCATTCTTGTTCAAAATATCTATTAACTGCTAAAATTGTATGCTTTACGTTTATTGTTTATACAATAACAATTCTTCATCAATTACAATAATAACGAAGTAAGCAATTGTACCAAACACTAGCAAAAATCCACGTTAAATAATACTTCGTAGCTTACTCTAAACAACTAAAAGGAATAAAATAATAGTAGCCTTAGAAAAGAGGATTATTTTTAAACGTGTAAAACACTCCAATAATAATAATAATAAATTAAAAATTTTGTACAACCGACTTTAATGATAACTCAAAAATGATTGGTCAGATCTTTATCAAATTAATATAGGACCACATGAAAAGCACTAGCTTTCATAAAAAATCATCGAAATTGGTTCACGTAGAATAAAGTTATGAGGTAATGCACATTAAAAAAACATACAGTCGAATTGAGTACCTTCTCCTGTTTGAAGTCGGTAGGAAAAGCCTGAAGGAAAAGCTTCAAAAAAGCTCAACCGCGGCGCGGCGTACACATTGAACGCATCAACGTTCTTCAGGGATATTATAAGCCTTAGTATGTCAACGTATTTTCATATTTTATGATGTTGTTTTTGATAACACATATAGCTTTTTACGTAGTAGAGCCGTTCTGCAGCTATATTATGATGGTCGCACGAATGGGTCGGCTCGACCGGGAATGGATCACACTCTCATACAATACCAGCCTAAAATAGCAGCTCGGTGCTGATGTGTTTCGTATGGTGTAAAAAACCGTATACAAAACCCTTTTTACTAGAAACGAGACATTCCATCTTACTACTAAGGGGTGACAACGCACCTGAATTTTGATTGGTCACAGCATCCACTAACCATTAGATGTGGACAGTGTATTATTGGTATTTAGATTTTTTATTATAATTTTTAATGTTGTATAATATAAAATATTATTTTAAATATTGTATAAGTAAGAGATAAAAAATGTAAACAATTAAACTTATGCATTCATACTACTGTAATTTTTGTTGTGTTGGTGTTCTAATTCATTCTATAAAAAACTTTTGTGTAAGGAGGTAAGGACTAAATAGTCAGAGCTTAGAATGCTTTGGAAGAATTGTATTATTTTCATTCATTTATTAATGTTTGTCGCTAATTTCCTCTTGCAAATGATAATTATTAAAGTAGGAAAAATTTACTTTGCCAATATCCGCTCAGTAAAATAAAATGAAGTGTCTCACCTAGTTCGAATAAAAATATCAATAATAAAAATATATCATTAGGAATGTGGGTTAAGTGATTATATTTAGCCTAATATAACTTTATCAATGTCTAGACGGGTTGGCAGCGGCCGTGGACAAATCTCGGCATATCCACGTCAGCTGGAGTCTTTAATCCGACTAGCAGAAGCGCACGCGAGGGTGCGTTTGTCACCCGTCGTCGAAATCTTAGATGTCGATGAAGCCGCCAGGTAAGATCATAATACAATTAATAGAATCAGGCGTTACTTTGCGGAAGTCCATTATATTAAAGTTGCTAAAAATTACTTTGCGTACATCCGCTAGATAATTTTTTTCTATCGGATCTTCGCAAAGTAATTTTTACCAACATTAAGATTATAATACATATAAGTCAAGATGTGCACTGCCAGATCGTGCGTAGGACGGGATTATAGTGGCCAACCACACAGGTGCGCTCCATTCCATCACTCTCATAATTCGACGGGACAGTAATCCAACACGACCAGAGAGAGATGAGGCGCAGGACCCTTTACGTGCTTTACGTGCTTTCCGAGGCACGGCAGTGAAATACCGCCAGCTACCCGACTCCGGCCTACTGAAAATTTCTGGACGGAAAAACCCAGTAACTGATTTTGGCCCGATCCGGGATTCGAACCCAGGATCTCATGATCAGCAACCGCGTTTACCGCCACTGGACCAATGAGGCAGTTGATAGGCTGTAATGGTATTGGTTAGAAGGTTCTTCCACTAAAGGAATAAAAAATGCGTGAGTGTCGTGGAACACTCGGTTAGAACGAAGTCCCTTGCGTAGTATATTATTATTATTGATAAACGTAGGTATTATATTATTGATTAACAAATACAAATAAATGAATTACTAGCGTCTATTAAAATGAAGCGTCATTTGAAATAAAATAATATTTCTTTCATGGCAAGATAAGAAAAACTGCGAGGGAGATAGAAATTATTCCATCTCACTTTCTTATTTCGCCGCCAAGGCCGTCTACACTATGACACAAGGGGTAGCGACGAAAAAATCTTATTCTTTGTGTCGCCTAGCTCCCATCCGCCAAACCCGTACCGTCCGATAAAGAACTTTGTTCCAAAAAGTTAATGATAATAATCTTGTGATACTTGCATTGTATACAAATAAATAAATATTAATTTTAATGATCTATGATTTAAAAGTAGGGCATGGGCTTCCTCTCATTTATACGAAGACTATGCTGCTCTTGCGCGGTATACAGTATATTCTGTTACATAAGTGGTTCTTAGCCGGTGGTCCATGGAGCACTGATGATCCCTGAATCCATGAAGGCGACCGAAGTGGTCCGCGAAAACATCATACTATTCTCTCACATTTCGAAATGTATACAACATTCCTGGAGATGATGATAAGTACGCAGATACTGCCGATACCTTGTTGATACATTAAAATGAGGGTTGTGTCGTGTGTTTTATTTATAGAACTCTTTAAATCAACTCTATTATTATATTATATCTAAAAGTTGGTTGTGCATGGCAATATAAAAAATTCAAATGATCCATCATCCTTAAACAGTTAACAACCATTTGAGAACCATTATGATACGACATATGATAGATAATTAACTAAGACTTTGGCAATGGCAGTGTCGTGTTCAATGGCTATAAATGTAAGGATAAATTCCTATATTTTAAGACTCAAATGTTGGCTCCGTATTGGATTGTAATCCAAGGCACAGTAGCGGGTCCACACAGCACTGACATAATGTGCAGACGGTCAGAGCCACATTATTCTCTCGGAACAGACAGGACAGATGTATTTTAGATTTCATGGTGGTGCAATAGTTCCCAATACAATTACCATACAACTGTTATGCAAATTGCAAACGAATAAACCAAAGCTATTGATTAGTTGCCTCAAATAAGTATGAACATGTGTCCACACAGTACAGTCACAGCCTAAGAAGAACATGCAGTCAGTTATCGCGTTTGATGTTGTCGGAAAAGCCGATATAAAAATAACATTGCTAGGGTTGTTACAATTTTTTTTATTCCACGTTTAAACAAATTAAATAAGTTAATCAGATAATTAGTGTTCAGAAATAACAAAAATAGGTTGTAACAAACAAGAGATACAAAAACATTAAATATATAAAAAAATAGTTAATTGCCGAATACAATATAAGCAGTTTATAATGAATCTCTGAGTTACAACAACATACTTAACACTATTTTTTTTTTTTACTTGAATACATGTTAAAATGTTAGTGGAATCTTTCAAGTTGCATACATACAAGTTGAATAGACAAAGAAGACATACACATAAAATTACGTCATTAAGATTATCGTCGAAGTAAGTTAATGTTGCTGATTTCTTCATTTTGCGGGAAAAAGACGGCAAAATGAAAATTTGAAACTATTATAACTTTAATATCGGCCATATTTTGACGAATGATAGGCTTTTCAGCTATCGCATTAATTTTAAGCTTTCTTAAGTGGTATAAAAAAACTGCGGTTGCCAACCCGCTCGCCAAGCGTGGCAACTATGGCAAATACCCCCCAATGACTAAAGCAACAAACAGACGGCCCCCAGTCCCCGGCGGCCCCGCTATTCCTGGCTACGGTGGCGACCATGGTAACGGCGGGGCAGGGGGTGCTAAGAATCTCCGGTGGAGGTTCGGTTGCCACCTTAGACGACTCGACCTGGCAACGTACAACGCACGCACCCTGAGGACTGACGAGAAGATCGTGGAGCTGGAAGAAGAGATAGACAAATTGCGCTGGCATATTATCGGATTATCCGAAGTCCGAAGAGAGGGGGAGGACACGGTAATCCTCGAATCCGGCAACTTGCTCTATCACCGGGAGGGCGACCATCTGTCCCAACGAGGTGTCGGATTTATCGTCCACAAGTCTCTCGTTAACAACGTTGTAAAGATCGGGAGTGTGTCGACGAGGGTTGCGTACCTTATACTCAGAATCACCAAACGGTATTCGCTGAAGGTCATACAGGTTTACGCACCAACCTCGGCACACCCCGATCAGGAGGTGGAGGAAATATATGAGGATATCTCTAGAGCCATGCATTCCTCCAAAACCCAATATACGGTGTTAATGGGAGACTTCAATGCAAAACTAGGCACAAGAGAGAACGGTGAGCTGAAAGTAGGGAAATTTGGAATAGGGCAACGGAACCCAAGGGGCCAGCAGCTGGCCGACTTCATGGAGAAAGAGGGACTCTTTATGATGAACTCTTTCTTCCAGAAGCGGCCCCACAGGAAGTGGACCTGGTCGAGCCCCGACGGTTCGACAAAAAATGAGATTGACTTCATTATGACGACCAGACGACAACTGTTCAGTGATGTCTCCGTGATCGCGAGGGTGAAAACTGGTAGCGATCACCGAATGGTTAGAGGCACACTGAACCTAAACGTTAAGTTGGAGAGGTCTCGTCTAATGAAGTCAACGCTCCGTCCCCCTCGTGCTCTAATCCAAAGTCCCGAAACCTTTCACCTCGAGTTACAAAACCGTTTTCAGTGCCTAGAAGACTGCAATGAAGTGGACGATTTGAATGACAAGCTCCTGGAAACTGTCCATGCGGTCGGAGCTAAGTTCTGCAAGACCCGCCGCAGAAGAACACAAAAACTCTCCGATCACACTCTTAATCTCATGGCTGTTAGACGGGAGATGAAGCTACATTCTTCAACAGACTTGACAGCATACAGGCATCTGAACAGACAGATCTCCAAATGCATGCGGCGGGACTTACGCAACTTCAATACAGCTCGTATTGAAGAAGCGATAGAGCGGAACCAAGGCTCCAAAGTCTTTGCCAGAGATCTGTCTGCCAGAAAGAGCCAACTGTCAAAGCTGAAGACCGAATGTGGCAGCATCGTTTCTGGGACACCTGAGATTTTGAGTGAGATTGAGAGGTTCTATGGGCAGCTGTACACGTCATCGTTGGAGCCACACGCAAGTGTGAGTAACGATCCAAGAGCGAGTCTCATCCGACACTATTCCGAAGATATCCCGGACGTCAGTCTGAGCGAGATTAGAATGGCTCTCCAGCACCTTAAAAACGGTAAGGCCCCAGGCGAGGATGGAATTACAGCGGAGCTTCTGAAAGCGGGTGGAAGACCGGTACTTGAAGTCCTTCAGAGGCTCTTTAATTCCGTCCTCCATGGTGGCATTACACCGGAGGCGTGGAGCAGAAGTGCGGTGGTCTTGTTCTTCAAGAAAGGTGACAACGCTCTCTTGAAGAACTACAGACCGATTTCCCTTCTGAGCCGCGTCTACGTGCTGTTTTCGAGAGTCATTACGAATCGTCTCGCGCGCAGACTTGACGACTTCCAGCCTCCCGAACAAGCCGGTTTCCGAAAGGGCTTTAGCACCATAGACCACATACATACCCTTCGGCAAGTTGTACAGAAGTCCGAAGAGTACAATTTGCCACTATGTCTGGCGTATGTGGACTATGAGAAAGCCTTTGATTCCGTCGAAATTTGGGCGGTGCTGCAGTCCCTTCAGCGGTGCCAAGTTGACTGTCGGTATATCGAAGTGTTGAAGTGCTTGTACAGTAGGGCTACGATGGCTATCCGAGTACAGAACCAGAGTACGAAACCTATCCAATTGCAGAGAGGTGTAAGACAGGGTGACGTCATATCCCCGAAACTCTTCACCGCTGCATTGGAAGACGTTTTCAAGCTTCTGGACTGGAAAGGATACGGTATCAACATCAATGGCGAGTACATCACTCACCTTCGATTTGCCGACGATATAGTCCTTATGGCAGAATCGCTGGAGGGCCTAAGCACTATGCTCAATGACCTCAATAGTGTTTCCCAACGGATAGGTCTTAAGATGAACATGGACAAAACAAAGATCATGTTTAATGTCCATGTCACACCTATGCCGGTAGTTGTTGGGAGCACTAAGCTCGAAGTTGTTGACGAGTATGTTTACCTGGGACAAATAGTCCGACTAGGTAAGTCCAACTTCGACCGAGAGGTCAATTGACGGATTCAACTCGGTTGGGCAGCGTTCGGAAAATTACGGCACATCTTCTCGTCAGGTATACCTCAAAACTTGAAAACGAGACTATACAACCAGTGCGTGTTGCCAGTGATGACTTATGGATCTGGACGTGTTCCTTCACTGGTGGCCGCATGAAGAAGCTCAAGGTTGCTCAACGAGCTATGGAGAGGGCTATGCTCGGAGTTTCTCTGCGTGATAAACTTAGGAATGAGGATATCCGCAGTAGAACCAGAGTAACCGACATAGCCCAACGGATTAGTAAGCTGAAGTGGCAGTGGGCCGGCCATATAGCTCGAAGAACCGACAACCGATGGGGAAGAAAGGTTCTCGAGTGGCAGCCTCGTACCGGTAGGCGAAGTGTAGGGCGTCCCCCCACGAGATGGAGTGACGATCTAGTAAGACATGCAGGAAGTCGATGGATGCAGGTGGCTCAGGACCGTGCTTTGTGGCATTCTTTGGGGGAGGCCTATGTTCAGCAGTGGACTTGTGAAGGGCTGTAATGATGATGATGATGATGAATGATTAAATATTTATTTGTTTTAACTTAAATAAACTGACTACCGGGTACTAAATAAAGATATTTACTAATGTGCTGATAGAAATTTTGGACTTTTTGAACTACTAGATTTTAAATTTCTGTTATACAATATATTCACACTACATAATATATATATGTAGTGTGAACCATTTTAATTTATTTGCAACGTGACAAGCTCTGCCGGACAGCTCCCGAACCGATTAATAACCGTTTGGGAGTGTTTCACCCGTGTCTTGTCCCGTACTGCACCCATATAATTGCCCCGTCTAGACGTCTTTGATGACTGACTGATAGTAGTTAGACTGTGGTGGAGTCTAAGAGATTATAGGTACCATTTTTTCCTCCCTCCTTTCTACCATCGGACAATCAGGCGGTCGGCGGGTCTTTATCCCTTTGTTGTCGATATTTCACGCATTAGAACCAAACGGTTTGCTTCATCTTTTGTAATGCGTACAGCAGAGGAGTGGAATAATTTGCCGGCGTTTATCTTTCCGTCCGAATACAATCTGGGTGTCTTCAAAGCAAGAGTGAATAGGTTTTTGTTGCGCTAAGATAGTGCGATTTACCATTTAAGGCTGCATCGCTACTTACCATATCAGGTGGGATTATGCTCAAGCACTGGCTTATAATAAGTTTAAAATAATTTGGACCGGTGCAAGCAGCAAGCAGTGCAAGTGAAGAGTTATCTGGCTATTGAACGGACGGTTTGCAGGTTGCACCGCGAGGCGCTGAAGCAGTCGGCCACGGACCCGGCGTCGGGGCGCATCGACGTGGGCATCCTGACGACGGGGCTGGGCGCGGCGGCGCGGCGGCGGCGCGCCGACCTGGTGGCCGCGCTGCGCGCCCTGCTGCAGCCCTACGCCAAGCCGCACACGCTCACGCACGCCAAGCTGCTGCACGACGTCAACGCCGCTTCACAGATTGTAAGCCTCTCAACTTTTTATCATCATCATTCATCATTACAGCCCTTCACAAGTTAACTGCTGAACATAGGCATTGTGGAATTCCTGGGGGAGACCTATGTTTAACTTTTATCACTCACAGAAAAATTACTGCACAAAATGCTATACTATAGATATGTTAGCTTAAGAGCCAGTGAGCGGCAGACTTACGGTATTTCAATAAGCTTCACTTTTTTTTTTCAGTTAATCCCCTATACCTGAGGTACATGAAATGGGGACTCTTTAGTTTGACCGGCGGTCGATATTAAAGGTGTAAAAAAATTACCCAAGAAAACGTGATAGCAATAAGTCTGACGCTTTGACATCTTGAAATATTTAATAAAAGTTACCGAAAAATAACATTGGCAGACACCTATGACAGTTTCAACTTCATGGCAGACAGGTTGAAAAGTACAATTTTTTATTAATAATTTACGTTATTTCAATTAAGCTGCAATTTATATATATTGTTGATAATATTATTTGACATGTGTAATTTTCATGGCAGACATATATTGTGGTTATATCACCCAGGCAGACAACAAACTTCTGGGGCGTCCATAAGCGCGTACTATAATAGCACTTGCTCTAATACAGTCGTTATATCAATTTGAAAAAAATCATATTAATTAAAAGTAAATATGATCATTTCATATTGATTGCAATTAATAATAATTACGGGTTATAAAATAAATAAATGTTGAATAAGCACACAATAGTTAATATTTATTTGTTTATGTTTTAATGTTATAATATCATAATAATATTAATTTATTCATGAAAATGTCTATCACGCATTTTATTAAAAACTCAATAATTTTAAGAATATTCAAATCATTTTATTCCTGACTATCGGAGTTGTATTCTTCAGGTTCATCGTCAGATGCATCAATCCCATCGAAATCTGCATTCTCATCATCAGACGCAATTATTTTTGCAAAGAATAAGTTTCAATTTGTAAATCAAGCCAATTATAATAAAATAAATAATTTAAAAATATAAATTCTTATAAAAGAAAATTACCTTTTTTACGTGGTAGAGCCATACTGCAGCTATATTAGTAGTATAGTTGTAGCACGAATGGGTCGGCTCGACCGGGGAAGGACCACGCTCTCACAGAATACCAGCGTAAAATAGCAGCTTAACGCTGCTGTGTTTCGTATGGTGATTGTAGAGAACCAGAGACCCTTTTTACTGGAAATGAGGCACTCCATTTTAGTCCTCACGGGTGACAACGCATCTGCATTTTGATTTGTAATAGAGGATAGATGCAGATGTCTATGGACCGCAGCAACCACTTACCATCAGGTGGACTCTGTGCTCGTTAGTCACCCTTATCTTATAAAAAAAACCTGGTAGATCTACGACTAATTCGTTCACAAAACTGGGCAACTGATCTCTGTCAAACCATTTAAATATATACGTATCATTTTTTTCAATCCAGCCGTGCTCCAGTGGATATAATAATACTGGATATTTTTGTTTTTCCAAATGCTGGAAATATAATGCGCGCGTAAAAATTGCTGATACAGCTCACGTTTACACGGTGGTAAAGAGCTTCCATCAAAACAGTGTAATTTCTTACTAAATGTTTCATTCAGATCTTTTGGTCTATAACTATTTATAAAAAGATGGAACCCGCCATCATCTACATCTACTGATTTCTTTGTATTATATATTTGACAGGTAAACTTGATGAACTTGAAACTATCATAGGTGTCTGCCAATATTATTTTTCGGTAACTTTTATTAAATATTTCAAGATGTCAAAGCGTCAGACTTATTGCTATCACGTTTTCTTGGGTAATTTTTTTACACCTTTAACACCTGAGCGTCTCTATATCGACCGCCGGTTGAACTAAAGAGTCCCCGTTTCATGTACCTCAGGTATAGGTATAGGGGATTAACTGAAAAAAAGTGAAATTGAAATACCGTAAGTCTGCCGCTCACTGGCTCTTAAGCTACGTATAAAAATGGTTATTCAAATTTTAATAGATGGGGTACGTAATTATTGAAATAAAATATTCAAACCGTTGCTTATATAGCATGTCTACAATTTTGTAAACTTTATTTTGTCACCCCTAATCAATTTTGTCTTATGATGTACGAGGGCGGCACTGAAAATTTCGGGAATCAAGGAAGTGACACAACATTACTATTTAAAAATGTATTTATTGCTTTTCGAAGTATTCTCCGCGAAATTTGACACATTTTTCCATACGATGGAACCAATCATTGAAGCAACCATTCCATTCGGAAGTTGGGATCTCCGAAATGGCCGTTTTGTAGGCGTCCACAGCTTCTTCAGCTGATGAAAATCTCTGTCCACGCAATTTATTCTTTATTTTAGGGAAAGTATAGAAATCAATAGGGCTTAGGTCGGGGCTGTACGGCGGATGGTCTAATAATTCTATGTTTTCTTGCTCTAAAAACTCTTTTGTTCTGTGTGCGGTGTGAGAACTCGCATTGTCGTGATGGAAGATGATGCGGCGGTTGCAGTTCTCTTTACGGGGTTCAGAAACGACCTGTGGCAAACAAATGCTAGCATACCATTCTGCATTAACCGTTCTTTGTCCCTCAAGAGGAATAGTCGTAACATGGCCGGTTTTGGAGACAAACGTGGCCACCATTTTTTTTGCAACACTCCGTGAACGAACAATTTTTGTTGGCTTCAACTCATTTTCGAACACCCAAACTCGTGACTGGTTTTTTATTTCGGTGTTGTATACAGCATTTGAGGATCCTGCGTGGAATCATTCGAGAGTTCTGACGCACCAAGTAACGCGAGCCGCTTTTTGCTCTTCACATAGCGAATGCGGTATCCATCGGGAAAACAACTTTTTTACACCTAATTGTTCATGCAAGATTATTTATATTTGACTCATGCCAATGTCTAAAGTTGCCTGAATTTCGCGGTATGTCACATGTCGATCTTCCTCAATCAGCTTGCGCACAGCATCAACGTTTTCTTGGGTGACTGCAGTTTTTGGACTACCTTGACTCGTCATCACTGAGCTTGACACGTCCACAAACCACTTCGAAAGTCAGGATAAATCATCGCTCTTGAATTTTCTCGAGTCAATTCCATTTTCTCAACGACTAAACAAGTTTGACAAAACCTTGTGACAAGACCGAGAATCTTTTTTTAAATAAATAAATGGTATTCCATTTTTAAAACCAAGGACTTTACAATTAAAAAGATTTTAATATGACAGGAACAGTGGAAATATTCCATTCCCGATACTTTTAGTGCAGCCTATGTATGTCATCAATAACTTTACGCGAATGTCGATAATGTGAATCAACTGTGCCTTCGAAAGTGGCAGTCACTTTCTTATCTTTATATATAAAAATTACGTGTCAAGTTGTTTGTCCGCGATGAACTCCTAAACGACTGAACTGATTTCAATGAAATTTTGCACAGTCTGTGCAGTTCGGTCCAACTTGATAGATAGGATAGTTTTTATCCTGATAAGTGACACACAATATTTTTTTATTGCGAATTTAAGGATTTTTTATATGAAGGGTTGTCGAAAAGGGCAGAACAACGTCTGCCTGGCCAGCTAGTTATTTTATATAAATTAAGAAATCATCTTGTGCACTCGAAGATTTTAAGTTATACACGATGTAATGGTTTCCAATTAATTTAATATTTAAAAATTTACTGTTCAATTTTTATATAAGAACAGTATTGACTACGGCGAAGCAAAAAGAAAAGATGATTTAGACCTGTATGTTTATTCATCTCTTCCCTCGTAACTTATAAACTTCTTATCACAATTTGACAGATGAAGTATTGTATAGATACTTAAACACAACTCTCAGAACTGTCTATTTCTTATAACGATCCACAATGTTCCAACATTATGTATGCTTGAATCGGCCGAATTGTGATATTATTATCACATCAGAATTTGGTTTTATGTAGACTTACTTTAATATCAAAATCTGGAATGAGTGTAGATTTGTAAAATATTGTAAATAGTTAGGTTATAATGTACATACGAAGATTAAATAAAATGAACTTTAAAGTACACCCGGAGACAGTACGAAGAATAGTTCATTTATTCCTGCCCACACGCAAAATACGCGCATAACCGTGGAGTTGCGGAAAACAGCCCGTCGTAAACTAAACTAAACTAGTTCATTTCAGCAATTAAATTAGTTTAAACATCTTAACAGTTTATATCACGAAACTGAAATAGTTGTGGTGATAACTGTTCTATGACAAGGTATTTTTAAGTTGCCGTTACATGGAAAATAGATAGTTATGAAATATAGATAATTATAATAACGTTATCTGTTGTACAATAACGATAACGTTACGCTATTTATAAAACATAATATAACGGCCCACCTGTGGCATCAAATAAAATGGCGTAATTAGCATATTTCAGATATATATAGGTCGTTTGGAAGATAGGTAGGAAGAAGGTATCATCCCCTTCAGGCTTTGCATCCAAAGCCTGAAGGGGATGATACCTTAAACAATTTGGAACATATTAAGCTAAACTTGTCTTAGACGGCTTAGTCTGCTCCTTTTTTAGTTGAATTTCTAAGGTTTTTAATAGTAACAGTTGTTATGTATTTTTTTATTTATGTTGTGGGTTTTCTAACACTACTGACTAGCAGCTATTAATCAACTAAAACTAGTTGATTTTATCACTTGTGTAACTGCGAATATCAGTTACCACTTTTTTCGTCTAGCTAACACTTTTCACTATATGTAACTGCGAATTTTCAGTTACCACTTTTTTCGGCTAGCTAACACTTTTTTACTATATGTAACTGCGAATTTTCAGTTATCACTTTTTTCGGCTAGCTAACACTTTTTTACTATATGCAACTGCGAATTTTCAGTTGCCACATTTTTCGGCTATGTGTAACTGCGATTTTCAGTTACGACCTTTTTCGGCTGGCTAAACTTTTTCTAATTCACTATTACTGTTCACTATGTTCTGCTACTAGTCACTTCAGCTACTACCGGATACTACTGCTTGTCACTGGTAGTTCTTCCTACTACCACGTTACTGGGATTCGCCCCCATAAGGTAGACTTCGGCTATACTGTATAGTGAGCCGCTTGCCATTTTCCGTTTTGCCTCTTTATTTTAAAACATTTTCACTATGTAATTAGCACAACTTGCAATATTTTCTATATAAGGTTAAATCTTACACTAATATGCTAAACATCATTAAATCGGCATTTTGGTCCTTTGTCTGTATATGATAAAGGTTACTCAATATATTTATATTTAAAAAAGTTATTAAACGAATTGTCCCAAATTTTCACAACAAATGGGTACATTAATTCTTTAATTGTTCTATATTTATCAAATGCGTTTAATTATACAAATTATTTCTTCACTATCGTAATCTATATACCATATGCTAACTAAATGTCATATTTACAACTCTTTTAGAACACAAAAATATTCTCATCATTTTTAATAAGTATAAACTATTGCGCAGTTAATTAAATTTCTAGAAATTTCTACGATATGACGCGCTGTGATTGGTTGATTTTTCTTTAATGATTAAAGTTGTTTATATCAACTATTATTAAAACGACATTTTATACAAATATTTTAAGAGTTGTAAACACACTGTAAAACTATACTTCTTTACTATACTATATATTAATACACAATCTGCTCGATTTCGTTGGTAATTTCACTTTTTATACAAAACAATATTCTTTCATCACTTTGTTTCTTAAAGTCATTAAGCCGTCGCGAACAATAATAAGCCTTTGTTGTTTAAACTTTTTTTAAGACATGCTTAGTAATGTTTGCTTTTTAGTTATTTGTTCATTCTTTTGAGGTATTAATTACGCAGACGTCTCATCAACTCTTGGAATGACGGTGTACAAATCAAATTGCGGACGAATATTTTTAATACACCAATAAAAGAAATTTTTTTGTTAAATTAATTTATTTAATCGTGTTTAAAATGTTGACCACGATTTGTGACACAAGCGCGGGCTCGTCTTCTCACTTCTGTGGTCGTAATTTTCTGCACAGAAGTGAGAAGACGAGCCCGCTCTCTCTCCGCGATTCTCCTGCTTCATAACTTGATAAGCCGTATGGATTCTTCCTATTAACTCCTCTCTGGTTGATATTTCCACATGCGTGTAAACGAGCTTCTTGACCCGTCCCCAAACGAAAAAATCCACAGGAGTTAAATCAGGCAATCGAGGTGACCAAGGGATGGGCCCGTTTCAGCCGATCCAATTCGCTGGGAAACAATTATTTAAATAATTGGTCTTCATTTTCCAAACCTTGTACACCCGTGCAATGTATCGTAACGTCATTACGTACTTCATGAATTGACACGTATTTCATGAATTGCTGAAAAATCACTCACGATCTCTTGAGGAATTTAAAAGGTTGAGAAGGCATTCAAATTTCGAAACATAAAACCTATGTGTAAGTTTGATATATTACCTAGGTACATTTGAAACAATAAAACCTCGATAAAAAATGTTAATGCGGCTCTGCAAATACTCTATCCAAATATTATATAACCCCAAAATAATTTAAATAAAAAGTATTAGTTCAAAAACAAAAACCCAACAAATTTTCAGTAGTCGGGTTTTAGGTTATGAACTTACTTTTCTGCCGACTTCCAAAAAGGAGACGGTACTCAATTCGACGCGTATGTTTTTTTATGTGTGTTACCTCATAACTTTTTACTGGGTGGACCGATTTCGATGATTCTTTTTTTATATGAAAGCTGATACTTCTCGTGTGGTCCCATATGAATTTGGTCAAGGTCAGACCAATAGTTTTTGAGTTATTTTTAATAACTTATATTGAAGTCGGCTGTACAACATTTTTAATTTTTAATTATTATTTTAAATATTCGATCGTGCTAGCCCAGTTTTCATTTCTTCCATCATGAATTTGACACATATTGACACCACATTTTGATAGTGTAGATGTTTATTAATATATGTTTCTCATATAAATTTTGTTACAAATTATTTAATTTTTTTTTATAGACTGTATCCCGAGAACAATTGGACGAAGCGTTACGTGACCTGCAGGACGAGGGCAAATTGACGATCGTCAGTCACACACATCTGCGACTTTGTTGATTCGTTCTCAGTGTTCGTTGAGAATTGAAATGAATCTTCGTGCATAGAAATAAAATTGAAGTTTGCGTTTTTTATACTTGGTTTGCTATTAACGGAATGAAGAGGACCAAAGTTATTTGGTCCTCTTCATTCCGTTATATAAGGTCTTTCTTAAAATGGCCATCATGTGATTGTTTTTAACTCCTAGTTGATTAAATAAGTTATTATTAAGCTTTAAAATATAAGGACATTTCAATAAAAAAAATTTATCATTCATTATACTCTCAACTTTCCAATTTTTAGTGTTTTGGAGTATTTCAAATTTACCTATAGTAATTTCACATCATGTTTTTTTTATAAATCCAAAAATAAAATTGTCTACATTACCTAGATTGCAAAGAAAGGGTGTCGCAAGTATAAACTAGAAATCTTTACGCATTTATACTGGGTTAATTTTTTACCATCCTCGAAAGTATTTGTAAATTATAACTGATAGGCAAAATTTCTGAAAATCCAAAAAAAATACATAAAAGCAATTCATCCTACGGCATTTGCGTAAAATTATAACTATAAATAGGTGATATTATTTTAAATGGCGTAGGCTATGATCGCTAGTAAATAAAAGTTGTAGCGCGAGCAAGACGCATGCACATTTCTTTCGTTCTTTAGGCATTCATCGTCGGTATCGGCCGAGTGGAGCGGTCACACATCGTTGCAGCCAACCTTTACAATCAGGTTTATTCAAAAAGACCTAGCTACAATACTTGGCTTCGTACTGCTTGCAGTTAAGTGTTTTTCTTTGATACGGCGCGGCGCCGTTTACGAATTCAGATTACTGACGTTCAGCCAGAATGACGTTTCGATACTTGGTCTAAAACAGCAGACAATGTCTAGCCTGATTAGAGAACGACTAGTTAGGTCCACTTTTTTACAACATTTCTAGCCACAATGCAAAAGCGCTATTAAATGTTACGATATTAAAGACAACCCACTGCATTTGTTTGTTTTGTAATGCATGGCAATTAAAATTCAGCATTAAACGCAAGTCGGACTAGGCGTTCATTAATACATCTTATTTCTTATTTGGCTGCGACGTACATTCGAATACATAATACATTCGTGCCGGCCGAATACAGACACTTTCCTGAGCAGGTGTTAAGCCTTTTAATTATCATCTTCAATGCCTGCTTCAATCTTAGTTACTTTCCCACTACGTGGAAAGATGCAACTGTCATTGGTATTTCCAAGCCAGGAAAGCCTCTCAACCTCCCCTCCAGTCATCGTCCCATCAGCCTACTCAAGGCCATGGGCAAACTCTTCGAAAGAGTCATCCTCACTCGCATGAGGCTCCATCTGTTTCCCACAGACGGTGACCCTCTTGTCATCCCCCACCAATTTGGTTTCCGAGCGAAACATTCTTGTCCCCAACAAGTTCACCGTATTGTGGAATATATCCTCAGCGGTTTTTATCCTCGTCGTCATAAGACCATCGCGGTCTTTTTCGACATTGCCAAATCATTTGATAGAGTCTGGCATGAAGGCCTTATCTATAAACTTTACAAAATAGGTCTCCCTGATCGTCTTGTACGTCTCGTGGCCTCGTACCTTTCGTTTTAGACACGAAGACACGCTCTCCTCTCAGCGCCCCATCAAAGCTGGTGTCCCTCAGGGCCTTGCTCCTCTCCTGTACATTCTGTTCACCAACGACATTCCCATCCCGTCGAATGGTGTTCAGATCTCCCTCTTCGCAGATGACACTGCCCTCTATTCTAAAGGTACCTCGATACCTTTCATACGGAACAAGATCCAAAAGTCAGTTAATGACCTAGGAGCTTGGTTCCAAAAATGGCGCATCGATGTGAACCCGGAGAAGTGCTCCGCCGTTCACTTGAGCAAGAACAAGGACAAAGAGGCCTAAGGCGGGTGCGTTACAAATTCATTGTTTATTGCTGCTCGTAAAGTAGGGGTGCATATGATTTGAATTTCGATAGTTTTAAATTGATTTATTCATTTGTCAAAACTTTTTATTTTTATGTTTTTAGTACGGAAAGTTTACGTCAAATTAATAGTATTTATTGATAGACCAATTTCATAAGTTTAATTTAAAAAAAAGAGGTAAAATGTCACTGCTGGCTGGCTTGGCTTCTACTGCGTTCACCTGTTTTTTTACCAGACGGTAGAAAGTCATCCAGTATATAAAACACCACGACGTAAACATCTACCTTAGTTCAGTACTAAGTTGTAGGACATGTTTTCTGCCTCAGAGTCCGTCTAGGCAGGTAACAACCACTCTCTTATATATCTATCTGTCGCCAAACACCAACGCGCGCACTGCTCTTTTTCTGTCTGAAGGGTAAAGAGAGCCAGTATAGTAACAGGCTGTAAGGCATTACACCTTGGTCCTAAGAGGTGACAATGTACCTGTAGCCTTCTTCGTTTGAAGTTAGTTGTCTATGGGCTGCAGCAGCTATTACCATGAACTGGACTGTGAGTTTATGTCTTCAATTTTTGATAAAAAAGTTAGTTAATAAGGGTACTGTAGAAGGTCAATGTCCAGCATTATACTATTTATAACGAGTTAATACAATTAAATATTATAGCAAATGTGTCTACATTCTTCGCACCCTGTTTTTAAACCTTTATTAAAAATTGGTAGAGCCATGCTGCAGGTATATTATGGTTGTAGCACGAATGGGTCGGCTCGACCGGGGAAGGACCACGCTCTCACAGAAAACCAGCGTAAAATAGCAGCTTAACGCTGCTGTGTTTCGTATGGTGAGTGTAGAGAACCGGAGACCCTTTTTACTGGCAAAGAGGCATTCCATCTTAGTCCTCATGGGTGACAACGCATCTGCATCTTGAGTCTTTATTGAGATAGATATAGATGTCTATGGGTCACAGTAACCACTTACCATCAGGTGAACTGTGTGCTCGTTAGTCACCCGATCCTATAACAAAAATAGTAAAATAAAACTATTGTTTTATTAATTTTCTTTCAATAGACAGAGACGCTACTTAAAAATATGACTTTATATATCTCATCCATTGTACAAATAAGGTTTGTTTTTAAATATAATAATAATGAAAATTAAATCAACATTTCAATAAATAAATTTTATTTACATTATCATTAATCATAAACATATTACGTCAAAAGACTGACCCAACAACAATGCTTAATATATATATATATTTTTTACAGTATAAAATATTTAACAAAGTACAGTCACACACTTGTCCGTGTTAAAGGCGGAACCTTAAAGAAAATTAATAGGACAAAATCAACTTTTTAGTCAATTTAGTTACCTTATAACACTTGTTTGATATAGGTACTGCTTATGGTTATAAAAATAATAATAAATAGAGAGAACAGCTTTATACACAATTAAGCAAAACAATACATACGTTTTCGAGTTTAAATATAAAGGATGAACAACTATGTATAATAAAATACTGCATATTTTTGTTAAATGATAATCCCGCAAACAAGATTTTACTTTCTAACTCAATTTAAAAACGTGTATCAGGGATGAAGTATTATTATTAACAATGCTTTTTTGTAATCAGATAGTTATTTTGAATTAGTTTTATAAAAAGACGGATTATATATATAAAGAGCACATGCAGAATATGAAAAATAAGGCAATTGAGCAAGTTTTAAGTAAAAAACCCCAGTACCCTAACACTGTTCTTGAAAACACTTCTTGAAAATTTTAAAACTGTTATATACTAGACGTTCCTCGCGACTTTGCCCGCGTGGAATTTATTACGAATGGATTTAATGGGCTTTAATCTTTTTTGCACGGAACACTAATTATTTTTCTATAATAAAAGTAGCCTAAGTTACACCTTATAAGATCAGCTATTTGCCAGTGAAAGCCCCGTCAAAATTAGGTCCAGCCGTTTCACAGATTAGCCGGAACAAACAGATAGACAGACAGACAAAATTGAAAATAGTTCTTTTTTGTTATAAGTATGGTATATATTTTCATATGCATTTAGTAAAAGCTGTTATTTTAACATTACAAATGGACATTTTCTTTTTAATTGTGTAGATATTTTATATTACATTAAAATTTTTTTAGTGAGGCTTTTCAGTTCTCACTAGCTCTGACTATACAATTTTTGTTTGAAGTTTGTCACAGAGGTCCATGGGTTGCATTGGTCTCACACCACTACGTGGACTATTTGTCATAGTCATTATTATTATAAAGAAATGATCTGACAATCTCAGGATTGTTTGAATAAATACGGAGAGAATAGGCAACCAACGCCGAAAAAATAAACTTACCCACAATCTACAACTGGAGTTAGCAGGCAGCAAACCGTAGGATGTAAAATAATAAATCTGAAATCCTCTTTATTTTCAATAGGAGGAAGAAAGCATGAGAGAAGGAGAAGGTAGTTTTATGGAGTTATCTTTTTTAGTTTGTTACATTAATGTTAATATTTACTATATACGCTGTTGGTTTTCTAAATAAATAAAATAAATAAATGACGTTCTCTCCCATACCACAAACTGGAAGCACGTAAATTCTCTAGTCAACATTTTCATGGCTAAACAAAATAACATTTTTATTGATCTATATTTACACTTAGTTTATTGAGATAAATAAGTGATTGTGAGACATTATCAAAGCCTTGAAACAAAGATCGAGTTGTCATTTATAATATGTAAAAACATTTTTTTTCTAAATCTCAATTATGTAGTTTTTTAACTAGCTAGCTGAACACTCCATACACGATAATAAAGCGACTTTATTATACTTTTGATTGCACTACTGTATATAAGGCGATGTCGGTATCCACTAAAGTTTTTGATATATTTTTACAACTATCAAGAAGAGGGCGTTGAGTTTATCTCTCCATTACAATTGCTTTCGTCTGCAACTTGCTTCTCCGTACGTGAATCGGTTGCGTCAGCTCGATCGCACGCCTCTATGACATATTTATTAAATAAATCCGGTTTGTCTAAATACACGTGGTGACCGGCTCCGTTAAGCACCTGCAACATAAATGTATTATTATTCATAACAGCTTATCAAAAATCCACTGCTGAACTTGGCCATCGGCTGCTCTTATATGGGGTATATTTGGCTGTCGTTACGGCTGGCGGGTGGGTTGACAAACGCAGTTTTTGTCGTAAGAGGCGACATCCACGGGTTTATATAGGGTAGTAGTGAATTTGCTTATGCTGCCACTCACTACACGCGGTAAAAATGTAGATGATTGAATGGAAAACATCTTATAAAAAATAAAATCGAATCGAAGTCTGCGTTGCTAAGCATTTGACTGCAGTGTTGCGGGCCGCGTGTTTGAATCCTGCACATTACGAGTCTGAATGGTCTACAAATAATAATTGTTGCGGAGCTGGAAGTTTGCCCAATGCCGTACTTCAAACTGTAAGGTTTATATATATAAATATTTTAAATGGTGTATGTATCGCCATTTCACCTAACTGACCTTGCAATTTTAGTTATTTGTAACATTTAGGCCGGCCACGTACATTCGAAATTCCGATTCGGGTTTCAGTAAATAAATCACACCAAAGACATTTAAGTAATAGTAGTAATAGACCGGACATCAGCAGCAAAACTGTCGTCTGTAACTTATGTCCTATAGGATATATCTCCGATTTTTGTCATTTAGTCTTAGTGACATCGTCAAAAAGTCAAGACGCATTCGTTTCATATATTTAAAAAATATTTTTAAAGAAAATATGTCCGGTTGTGCATTAAGATATTGTAAGTCACGATATGGAGCAAAAACTGAACGTGATTTCGGTTTATTATCGTAAATATAACATATATTTACCGAATAATCTTTGAATTTTATTATTTCTAGTAGATTGTTCTAGAATTTTTTTTATTGTATAAGCGGCCTCTGTTATCCAGTAAACGTCACTATTTAGTTACCAATGTTAAAGTTAGTGATTGACGACGTTTATCAATTGCGATTATCGAGAAAAAAATATACAGAATGCCGATTTAATCCTTTACAATATTTAAAGACGTAAAACAGTCAACGATACTGTACTCATACCAACAAAAATGAGTAGCATATACCAACTATGCTAAGTAGCCCACTTTATGTGGAGCAAGTGTGGGAAATTTTTTTTAGGCATGCTGATGAGATTTTTTTGTCTTGCTTATGAGCATGCTAAGGATACTTGCTGTGTTGATGTTTAGCAATACAACAAGTCTTCTCTTTTACATACCAGGCTTCGTTGTCTGGTGGTTTTCAAGGACAAAGATATTATAGATCCTCGCTTACAGTGATAGGAGAGGGTTATATGTTTCTTACATTAAAACAATTTGTACTGTTAAAGATATTAGATGCAAGAAGTAGTAGGTTAAAAGGAAAGGAGTTAAAATAAGGTAAAAACTTAAAATAACAATTTTTATTGATGTGGGTAGTGTCTTTAAGTACTGCAGCTAATGAAACATGAAAAATCGTGAAACGGCTTTTAAGTTCAGTGTTTTCCTAAAATATTTTAGATTTGAAGTATATTTTTGTAATAGAAACGAATTTAAAAACATAGAAGCGCTCTCTTATTGGATTTAGCGTTTCTCGATGTGTTTTTAACGCCGACCGATCAATCATATGCTATTATTATAGCAGCTAATGGACCGAGTGACGTCATCCAAGATGCCACCACTTTAGTTGCCACCTTGGTAGCAACCAAAGTGAGTGCTGTTTGAATTGATTCTTAGTTATTGGAAATTAAATATTTTATTTCATGACACTAAAGGAGCATAAAAAGTTAATATGATTTTTTTCGTGTGATGGAAGTCATGATAAATAGATTTATACAATAAAACAATCATGTATATTCCCTATTATTATATCGAAAAGCATTTCAAACATAGTAATCTTCAACTACATTATCGATACTTTGATATGGAAACGGTAACATTCCTAAAACGGCGTTATATTTATTAGCATGACCTACTGGGGAATAGCTAAAATGTTGTCTTAATAAATGCTTAATGTTGTTTTGCTATTTTTAGCTAGAGGGTGCCACACGCGCACTAGCTCAAAGTTTTTGTATATAAATGTTCCCAATACCCGCTCTATAGTATACCTATATATTTAAATCTCTTTGCATCACACACATTGTTACGTTTATTTCTCTTCGGAATAACAAGGCTCAGTTAAGAGACGCTGTCCATTGAGTCTAGACATTCTGCCAGCGAATAATGACAACGATATTCTGATTGCGGTTTGTTGCTGTATCATTGTTACTGTGTACCCTCAAAAAATTAAATATAGTCAATATTATGTAAAAAGATTTACTATTCAGATATTTTTTTTAAATATGGATATCCATAAGCTCTTTCGACGAATTATTAAACAAAACAAGATGAAAGGTTACGATAGATATACATATCGCTTCGGTCGTGCGACGCACACTGGGCGCGTTCCGTACGGAATTTACGAATGTGAAATGAGACTCCTAAAAAATCTATGGAAAACTTGCGTTCAGAACGGGATTTTCCGTGCGGGATTCCGAACGTACAGGCAATCATGAGGAATTTCGAATCGGAGAAAATTTCGAACGCAAAACTACTATAAGTGTGATAGGTCCTTGATTTTATATAAATTTGCTGCGTTCGGAATTCCGAATGTATGTGGCCGGCCTTGAGGAAAGATTTTCCGCCAAGAGTACATTGGTCAATGGGCAGGACGCACCGTTTGCAGATGAGGTTTGTTTCTTTAAAAAGTTTCCAAACCTTACACCACCAAATCCTACTTACATAAAATAATAAATTAAATTCTTAAATATTTATTAACTACTAGCTGGCCAGGCAGACGTTGTTCTGCCCTTTTCGACGACCCTTCATATAAAAAATCCTTAAATTTGTAATAAAAAAATATTGAGCGTCACTTATCAGGATAAAAACTAATCTCTCAAGTTGAACCAAACTGCACACAGTGTGCAAAATTTCATTGAAATAAGTTCAGTAGTTTAGGAGTTCATCGCGGACAAACAACGTGACACGTAATTTTAATATATAAAGATAATTACCTGGACGTATGTCTTGGAATTAGGTCTATTCTGGCAGAGCAACTCGCCAGTCGTGTTGTCCACCCAAGACCGTGAGCCATACATGACGGTGATTGGAAGCTTCGGGTCTAACTGACCCACACGGTGTACCATAGGGTTCTTGGCCCAGCCGAAACCAATCATCAATGCATGGAATGCACTCTCACCACTAGAATAAAAATGGGAAAAATGTTTTTTTATGGATAAGCAATGTTATAACAAAATATTACGCCCGTAATAAACTAAAGGTAACAAACAAAGTAAGTGAGGGAACAAAGCTAACGGTTTACTATATTAGTGCAGTGCACCATGAGCTGGCCACATGGCTTATATAGAAAAAACAGCCGTTGGTGAAGTTTCTTAAATTGTTACATACGTAACTTAGGTACGTACGTGTAGTACTACTTTGTAGCGTTTCAAGTCGCCTTTAAGGGCTCCGACGGAATATATCGTTTGAAATAATTATTATTGACTCTAACAATACACCACAGTCTAAAGAAGCCTTAGATACCCATGGGATGATAAAATACACGTGGTAGAGGCACGTTGCAGCATTATTATGGTTGTAGCACGAATGGGTCGGCTCGACCGGGGAAGAACCACGATCTCACAAAATAGTAAGCTCAATGTTGCTGTGTTTCGTTTGGTGAGTGTAGAAAAGGCATTCCATCTGAGTTCACAGGGGTGACAATTGACAACCCATCTGCATTTTGATTCTTAATCGAGAATAGATATAGGTGTCAGCATCCACTTACCACTTAGTAGACTGTGTGCTCGTTAGTCACCATTATTCTCTAGAATAGGGACTTTCGCAATAGTACCATATAAATTTCCTCACAATCAGATGACAATAATAACAATAATATACCGTGGGGCGGTGTTTGAAGATAATCCATCACTCCATTTTGTCCTGTGGGTTTAGTAAGAGTTGTCACAAAGAATTTGTGCCTTCCGATAGGTAGCGGTTATAACCATATGGTAAACACCAGCCATATAGAAACAAACCAAGAGATTGACTGCAGCGTCTTCAGAGATGACGAGGATGGAATTTCGAGTTCTGTCGCAGTGAGTGAATGATAATGAGTTGTGACGTTAGGTCACTAAAGGAATGAGTGAGTGAACGATAATGAGTTGTAACGTATTTAGGTCACTAACCTCGGCGTCTCTACGCGTTGCACTGACAGGTGTAGTCGTGTATGAGCTGGGGTGGCAGGCGCGGTGCGTACTTGATAGACTTTATTGAACGAATGAGTTGTAACGTGTTTGGTCACTGACCTCGGCGCTGTGCTTTGCACTGGTTGATGTAGTCGGGTATGAGTTCGTCGGTGTGTGGCAGACGTGTTGCGTACTTGATAGGCTTGATTGAACGAAAGAGTGAGTGAACGATAATGAGCTGCAACGTGGCCGGTCACTGACCTGGGCGTCTGCGCATTGCACTGGTAGATATAGTCGGGGATAAGTTGTTCGGCGTGCGGCAGGCTTGGCGCATACTTGATATGCTTTATTGAACGAATGAGTGAGTGAACGATAATGAGCTGCAACATGGCCGGTCATTGACCTGGGCGTCTGCGCATTACACTGGTAGTTGTAGTCGGGGATGATTTGTTCGGCGTGCGGCAGGCTTGGCGCATACTTGATATGCTTTATTGAACGAATGAGTAAGTGAACGATAATGAGCTACAACGTGGCCGGTCACTGACCTGGGCGTCTGCGCATTACACTGGTAGTTGTAGTCGGGGATGATTTGTTCGGCGTGCGGCAGGCTTGGCGCATACTTGATATGCTTTATTGAACGAATGAGTAAGTAAACGATAATGAGCTGCAACGTGGCCGGTCACTGACCTGGGCGTCTGCGCTTTACACTGGTAGTTGTAGTAGGGGATGATTTGTTCGGCGTGCGGCAGGCTTGGCGCATACTTGATATGCTTTATTGAACGAATGAGTAAGTGAAAGATAATAAGCTGCAACGTGGCCGGTCACTGACCTGGGCGTCTGCGCATTACACTGGTAGTTGTAGTCGGGGACGATTTGTTCGGCGTGCGGCAGGCTTGGCGCATACTTGATATGCTTTATTGAACGAATGAGTAAGTGAACGATAATGAGCTGCAACGTGGCCGGTCACTGACCTAGGCGTCTGCGCATTGCACTGGTAGATATAGTCGGGGATGAGTTGTTCGGCGCGCGGCAGGCTCGGCGCATACTTGATATGCTTTATTGAACGAATGAGTGAGTGAACGATAATGACTTGCAACATGGCCGGTCATTGACCTGGGCGTCTGCGCATTACACTGGTAGTTGTAGTCGGGGATGATTTGTTCGGCGTGCGGCAGGCTTGGCGCATACTTGATATGCTTTATTGAACGAATGAGTAAGTGAACGATAATGAGCTGCAACGTGGCCGGTCACTGACCTGGGCGTCTGCGCATTACACTGGTAGTTGTAGTCGGGGATGATTTGTTCGGCGTGCGGCAGGCTTGGCGCATACTTGATATGCTTTATTGAACGAATGAGTACTGACCTGGGCGTCTGCGCTTTACACTGGTAGTTGTAGTAGGGGATGATTTGTTCGGCGTGCGGCAGGCTTGGCGCATACTTGATATGCTTTATTGAACGAATGAGTAAGTGAAAGATAATGAGCTGCAACGTGGCCGGTCACTGACTTGGGCGTCTGCGCATTACACTGGTAGTTGTAGTCGGGGATGATTTGTTCGGCGTGCGGCAGGCTTGGCGCATACTTGATATGCTTTATTGAACGAATGAGTAAGTGAACGATAATGAGCTGCAACGTGGCCGGTCACTGACCTGGGCGTCTGCGCTTTACACTGGTAGTTGTAGTAGGGGATGATTTGTTCGGCGTGCGGCAGGCTTGGCGCATACTTGATATGCTTTATTGAACGAATGAGTAAGTGAAAGATAATGAGCTGCAACGTGGCCGGTCACTGACTTGGGCGTCTGCGCATTACACTGGTAGTTGTAGTCGGGGATGATTTGTTCGGCGTGCGGCAGGCTTGGCGCATACTTGATATGCTTTATTGAACGAATGAGTAAGTGAACGATAATGAGCTGCAACGTGGCCGGTCACTGACCTGGGCGTCTGCGCTTTACACTGATAGTTGTAGTAGGGGATGATTTGTTCGGCGTGCGGCAGGCTTGGCGCATACTTGATATGCTTTATTGAACGAATGAGTAAGTGAACGATAATGAGCTGCAACGTGGCCGGTCACTGACCTGGGCGTCTGCGCATTGCACTGGTAGATATAGTCGGGGATGAGTTGTTCGGCGTGCGGCAGGCTCGGCGCATACTTGATATGCTTTATTGAACGAATGAATGAGTGAACGATAATGAGCTGCAACATGGCCGGTCATTGACCTGGGCGTCTGCGCATTACACTGGTAGGTGTAGTCGGGGATGATTTGTTCGGCGTGCGGCAGGCTTGGCGCATACTTGATATGCTTTATTGAACGAATGAGTAAGTGAACGATAATGAGCTGCAACGTGGCCGGTCACTGACCTGGGCGTCTGCGCATTGCACTGGTAGATGTAGTCGGGGATGAGTTGTTCGGCGTGCGGCAGGCGCGGCGCGAACTTGAGCGCGAGGTCGGGGCGCGTGCGGCGCACCAGCCAGCGGCCGGCCGGGCCGGCGGCGCGCACTGCCCACAGCGGGTTGAGCGGCTGCATGGCCGTCGCCAGCGCGCGCACCCACAGCGGCAGTGGCTGCTTGTCCTGCAACGACTGCGCCGGACGCTCCGGGAAGCCCCACGGGTCCGCCAGCACCAGGTGCCGCACCCTGCCGCCACCACACCACTAATCAGGGCTAATAATCTTAAGCGCCCATTACACACCTCAATCAGTTCGATCAATCATGATTGATGTTTGAATAATAGAATAATTTCGATATTACATAGTCATACACAAAATTTTAGAGGGAGAAGATGGATATTCATAAATAAAAAGGCCTGTGCTGCAATTTTTATTGCAATTTTGTGTAAAAAAAAAACGTATAAAAAGAAGGCGCTGAATAAAAAACTGGCTTTTAAAGGGATATCTATACCCATATTAACTTATTGACTGACATACGGGTTTCAATAGAGCATAAAGATTATGCAAATTATTTTCGCATGAATATCTCCGTCGCCCGTCTCGCCGTTCTACTCGAAGGTGTGTGAGCAAGACACCTTGCGTTCTTCTCGCTCATGCCATATAAATATCTCGACGCAGCACAACACGTCAGTTAGTTAGTCAGCAGTAAGAGCCGCAAAGGCTAACAGCACCAACATCTCAGAAAATAGATGATACAGCGCATCATCCCATGTTACATATGAGGGCTAAATCTTACGTCCTCGTTAGTGGTAAATAGAGCTAGAGATATTTTCATTAGTTTCATTAGGTATCTGGCATATTCGACTTGATTGAGCATGACTGATTAATGCAGTCTTACAAACTTGTTGTTCTTTATGTTTTTAAAACACAGCAGTTTCTTTTTCCATGATTATTTGATAAAAAAGATGGTTATCAAAAATGTATGGCTGTTTATAAGTAACTCGATTTGGTTTACAGTAAATTCTTAATCAAGTCTTATTGCAAGGAATGAAATATATTTTGCTTGTATTTTAATCATCATTGTGTTTAATCATTATTACATCATTTAACCAATATTTATTGATAGAAGTTGCATAATTGAATTGCAATATTTCAGCAGATTTTAAACATATTGCTAGTTTCTACTTAGTGTAGCGAAAGAAAATAGAAATATTTATTGAAAACTGTAATTGTCTTATAAACTTTACATGTAACAGACCAAACAGACCTGAACTGTTTAGGTACGGTAATCAATTATGCCGAACATTTTTTTTATAGTATAAGGGTGACAAACGAGCACACAGTCCACCTGATGGTAAGTGGTTGCTGTGGCCCATATACATCTACATACATCTATCCTCGATTACTAATCAAAATGCAGATGCGTAGTCACCCGCGAGGACTAAGATGGAATGCCTCGTTTCCAGTAAAAAGGGTCTCCGCTTTCCTACACTCACCATATGAAATCACGTCACCTATTTTACGATGGTATTCTGTGAGAGCGACCCATTTGTGCTACAACTATACCAATAATACGAGGGTGACACTAAAAGTTCTTAGAAAATCAAAAACTGAACAAACTAGCAAGTTATACGTTTTATTATACCTTTTCTCAAAATAGTGTCCATTTACATCAATACATCGCTGAATCCGATGGAACCACTGAGAAAAGCATTTTGCCCACTCGTCCTTAGGGGTCTCTTCGACGGCATTTTGAAACGCGGCCACTGCTTCCACGGCGTCCATAAAACGTTTTCCTCGAAGTTTTTCTTTTATTTTCGAAAATAAATAAAAATCGCAAGGTCGGGGCTGTAGGGCAGGTGACCTAGTAATTCCACGTCTGACGTCGCCAAGTAGTCGATTGTTTGCTTGGTGGTGTGTGACGACGCGTTGTCGTGGTGAAGGAGGATCCTACTGCGAGGTCGTTTCTTCCGGAACTTTTTCCAAGACAAGTGGCAAACAATTGTTAGTGTTCCACTCTGCAGTAACTGTTTTTCAATCCTCTAAAACAATTGTTGCGTAATGACCTGTCCTTCCGAAGAACGAGGCCACCATCATTTTCCCACGCTTCGACCTCTCTTCACTTTAATTGGCAACTCCTCGGAAGGAAACACCCAGACAGCAAGCAGACTGTCTCTTAGTTTCAGGATCATAACAATAAATCCAGCTTCCGTCACCCCTAAGTTTGTGGAACACAGGATTTGAGTCACCTCCGTTAAATCTTTGATCCATTTCACTACACCAACAGTGTAACAGTGGTAGAGCCACGCGGCAGCTTTTGCTGTCGCACGGATGGGCCGGCTCGAACCGGGGTAGAACCACGACCTCACAGAAAACCAGCGTGAAGTAGAGGTTTACCTCTGCGTTTCGCTTGGTGAGTGCAGGTGGCCGGAGACCCTTTTTACTGGAAATGAGGCATTCCATCTTAGTCCTCACGGGTGACAACGCATCTACATTTTGATTTGTAACAGAGGATAGATGTAGATGTCTATGGGCCGCAGCAACCACTTACCATCAGGTGGACTGTGTGCTCGTTTGTCACCCTTATCCTATAAAAAAAAAAAAACAATCAACACGACTGAGTTTTTGGGACTCTGTCAAATTATGAGGTATCCACCGGGCACAAAGCTTCCTGACCGCTAAAATTCATGGAGGATTTTATGCACTTGACTCATACCGATCCCTAAGCTTGTCCGAAACTGCTGATGAGTCACTATTTTGTCAGTCTCCGTCATACACCGCACAACACTGATGTTATCTTCAGCCGTCGCCGTAGAAGGCCGTCCCTCACGCAGATCATCGGTGAGAATAGTGCGACCACGTTTAAATTCATTAAACCAGTTGTAAACAGTGGCACGAGATGGGGCTTCATCGTGAAAGGCCAATCGAAGTCTATCATAACTTTCTTGTTGACTTAAATGACATCGAAAGTCATAAAAAATCATTGTACGAAAATTTTCTCGCGTTAAATTCATGCTGACGTTGCACAGGCAATTTACAATTTGCCGCCAAATCGTAAACAAATGACAAATTCATAAAACACATACACAATAATATTGGCAAAGAGTTCCATTTTCAAACTTTGGACTTATTTCTTTATTACATCGTTTACAAGTGGCCAGTTCTAAAAACTTTCAGTGTCGCCTTCGTATAGCCACAGTATGGCTCTTACACGTTCGGACGAATATTCGTATTCGGTGAAACCCATGTTCGGCCCATCACTAATTAATATTTGAAAAGTGTTTCACTGAGTTATCGATTTATTTATTTAATCATTGTTGCACTAAAAAGTACAAAGGCCGACTTAATGCCTTAAGGTGCTCTCTTCCACTCAACTTATAAGTAAGCAAATAACACTAGAGTTACTTGCAAGTTCCTCCCAAGGCAAAGGTTTTTTCTTCAAGTCAAGACATTATGTCTTGACCACTGGTTAAGAAAATTACTTTTAATAATAATTACTTCCAAAATGAAGGGCGGTGCCCCGTAAGGAGTGACTGGTAAGAGATACACAGGAAGTCGATGGATGCAGATACCTCAGGACCGTGCCTTGTGGTATTTCTTAGGAAAGGTCTTTGTTCAGCAATGAACTTATAAAAGGCTGTAATGATGATGAAGTATTACTTGTAATCTATGTTGATTGAAATTAATCATTAGCTCAACAAAACTAAACTTTTATTAACCTCTCAGATCCCGACATTGTATGGGACCAACGCTGTCAGACCTGTCGTCAGGCCAAGGTCAATAATGTTTATTTTGTTCTTAAAACCAGGCCCTGTCAACTAATGTATGTAACCTATACGGCATTAATAACAGTGCCATTGAATAAATTTGCAAAGAACTACGTCAGTTTGGCTGGTCGATGTAGTATTTGACAAACCGTGTAGCTGGGGCTGTTACAGAATTATTTCATTTAAAAAATAATTGTTTTGAGGGGTCTACAAAGGTGGCATTTGGTTATGCTATGTATTGGTCAGGGAATACATAGATTAAAGAGCACGAGTAAAAACTACGTCAAATAACAAAAAAGTTATTTGAAGTCAGCTTTTAGCTTCTGAAAGTGACATTAAAACATAGTCTATAGAAAAATTAAAACCCCGACTTCAGAATCTGTGAAGCTTGAAGGAATATCACAAGCTCAAGCTGACAATACAAAATATCGTCTAAATAGTTACATTAGAAACGTACGGTGGAATTTTTTCTCCAAAAATTTTAATTTACTTTTTGTACTCCATAACTACGTAATTTGTGTTGTGTACGTCACTGGTTTGTATAAAATAAAGTATTTTAGTTTTTTTTTTCCTAATTTGTTTTAAGTTATATCATCGAAAATTCGTTTACCTTTCGGGGTATTTGAGAGCGTAGGCGGCAGCAATGTAGCCACCTAAACTATGTCCCAACAAAATCATCTGATCGAGGTTAACTTCTCGCCGCCACTCCTCCACCGACTCGACCCATTGTGCCTCTACTTTAGTTGCGTCCGACGCAAAATTAGGTCGAGAACTGCGACCGAAACCTATAATAAATTAATGAAGATATGTTTTATGCATTGTTTAACATATTGTAGTGTATTATTATTTTTAACATATTGTATAACAATATAATTTCCTTCAATTTTAACCATCAATACTCATTCTAGAATACTATAATTTGTAGTAATAATAAGTATTTTGAATATAAAAATACACAAACTAGTTAACGCTTTTAAGTTTCTATTAAAAGATTGATACTACCTATCATTTTATAAACAACATATAGGTACGAGTAATTTAACCCTTTCACCGCCAAAGCCGTAATATTACCAATCTCAGGTGAATACCGTCAGCGCCCTCACGTAATATTCCGAAATGCTCATGTTACTAGAAAAACTGCAAGGTTAATTCGATTTTGCTATTAAATTTAATACATTTAATTAATTGTGGACAGTTGTAGATACCAATGTCAAAAAATGAACAGAAATATATAGTGTTACTAAGTGCAAGATAAAATTAAACACCTTGCTGCCTCGCCATCCCGTGACATTTCTGAGACCAGTGCTGCGCCACTGTAAAAGATTTATCAAAAATTTTATATTTGTATTGTTTCAAAATTAAAATCATAGTCAAGTCATCATCATCATAATGTAACATTTTAATGAACTAAACTAAACATTCATAAAAATTTAATTTCATATATTATTTAAATGACTTTTGCGACAAGAAATAAAAATATTAATTTATAAACCAAACAACCCAAATTTAAAATTGAATTATCCCGGTACGTCACTAGTGCATCCGAGTTGAGAACGGCAGCACCGTGATTTCACGTGCAGCTAATGTCAAGGACAGTGGCGTTTCAATAAATTGTCAATTACTGTGGCGCCGTCACCGTGATAACACGCGTGTACTATACTTATTTGCATTTTTAGTGCTGGAAATTATCGATAATGCTAGACGAAGAAGAACTGTTAAATATTTTAGAATCTTTATTATTTTATTGAATTACGGTGGTAGAGCCACGCAGCAGTTTTTGCTGTTGCACGTATGGGCCAACTCGAGCTGGGTTGGTACCACGACCTCACAGAATACCGGCGTAAATTAGAAGCTCTGCTTTTGCGTTTCGTCTGGTGAGTGCAGGTGGCCGGAGGCCCAATCCCCCCCCCCCCCATCAACATGGTAGCGGAATTACACGATAAACTACCCCGGGAGGGTACCAGTACCCCTGGAGAATCCCTCGCTGAGCATCCACGACCATGTTATTCCGATCCTGAGCGTGGGTGCTCAGACTGCCCCGCGTATTCTGGGAAGGGCAAAATTCCGCTCAAAAACATAACTGCTCGGGGCAAACTGAGCAAGAACACCAAGGCGACCCCTGCCACGCTATCCGTGAATTTCTGCAACATCAGGGGACTTCACTCTAACCTAAACGCCGTCCACTACCATCTCGAGACGGCGGAGCCGGCCTTGCTCTTTCTGACCGAGACGCAGGTTTCCTCTCCGGCTGATATTTCGTATCTCTCCTACCCGGGGTACGAATTGGAGCATTCCTTTGTGCCTCGGGTTGGAGTTTGCGTGTATGTCCGAGAGGACATCTGTTCTCGACGCCTCGGCAGTCTTGAAGGTTCGGACCTGTCCATCCTTTGGCTACGCGTAGACAGCGACGACCATCCGCGCGTCTACGGGTGCCTCTATAGGTCCCATAGCGGTAATGCCGAAACAGACCGACTCATCGACCACGTCCAAATGGCTACAGATTCCTTGCTACAACAGGTGCCATCCGCAGAGATCGTGATCCTTGGCGATTTTAACGCCCACCATGCCGAATGGCTCACGTTTAACCGATCATGCGGGGAGATCTGTTTATGACTTTGCCTTGGCATATGGTCTGACACAACTGGTTACATCGCCTACGCGGATTCCAGATGTTGAGGATCATACAGCCTCCCTGTTGGACCTTCTGCTGACCTCTCATCCGGACGAATATCAGGTTTCCGTCGATGCCCTCTTGGCTCTTCGGACCATTGTCTGATCCGGAGTGTGGTGCCACTCACGCTCCCCTCGCGGCTGCGTTCTGCAGGTTATTCCATCTGGTACCCATCGGAGGCAGATCTCAGCCTTGGTTTGGTCGCTCCTGTAAGACTGCATTACGCAGTAAGCAGGAGTGTTATCAAGCCTGGGCTGCGGCTTCGGCGATTCAGGATGTAAACATCAGTACACTTAAAAAGAAGTATAACTTCGCCTCCAGGGCCTTCAAAAGAGTTATTGCCAGGGCAAAGTCAGAGCACATAGGCAGAATTGGCGAGAAACTAGTACGCCTTCCTTCGGGAACCCGTGCATTCTGGTCTCTCGCTAAGGCTGTCCAAGGGAATTTCTGTAAGCCATCACTACTATCTCTACACAGGGAGGACGACTCACTGGCCCACGACGCAAGAGAAAGCCGACCTTTTAGGCTCCCTTTTTGCGTCCAACTCGACTGTTGATGACGGGGGGAACACACCGCCGACCATCCCGCGGTGTGAGCGCTCCATGCCGGATGTGCGGTTCTCACAGCGCTCGGTTCGCAGAGCACTCCTCTCCCTTGACATCCACAAGTCGAGTAGGCCTGACGGAATCCCCCCAATTGTGCTGAGGACGTGTTCTCCGGAGTTGGCACCGGTCCTAACGCGTCTTTTCCGGTACTCCTACTCCCTAGGCGTCCACCCGATCCTTAAAAAAGGCGACCGCTCAGACCCGTCCAACTACAGGCCTATCGCCATCACCTCCTTGTTCTCCAAAATAATGGAATCCGTTATAAACTGCCACCTCATGCGGTACCTTGAGGATCACCAGCTGATTAGTGACCGCCAGTATGGTTTTCATCGGGGTCGATCAGCTGGTGATCTTCTGGTCTACTTAACTCAAAGATGGGCGGAGGCAGTAGAGTCCAAGGGGGAGGTATTGGCCGTTAGTTTGGACATTGCGAAGGCCTTCGATCGGGTTTGGCACAAAGCGCTTCTTTCGAAGCTCCCTTCCTATGGGCTTCCCGAGAAATTATGCAATTGGATCACCAGCTTTCTTGCAGATCGGAGCATCAAGGTCGTTGTAGACGGTGCATGCTCCGACTACAAGCCTATTAACGTTGGTGTTCCACAAGGCTGCGTGCTATCACCAACGCTGTTTCTTCTGCATATCAATTATATGTTGCAAGCCGGTAGCATTCATTGCTATGCGGATGACAGCACTGGTGATGCTCTATACACCGGCCGTGCCAATATTTCTCGGGAAAACGTCACCGAGTACCGGAACAAACTTGTGTCTGAAGTCGAGTCTTTGCTGGACAAAGTCTCGGATTGGGGGCGACTAAATCTAGTCCAGTTTAATCCTCAGAAGACACAAGTTTGCGCGTTTACCGGTAAAAAGAACCCCTTTGTCGTATCTCCTCAGTTTCAAGGTACCCTTGTTGCCTCAGCCAGTATCGGAATCCTTGGCGTCGACATATCGAATGACGTGCAGTTTCGTAGTCATTTGGAAGAGAAGGCCAAATTATGGCCTCTAAAAAGCTTGGCGTGCTCAGCAGAGCGGGACAGTATTTCATGCCGGCTCAACGCCTGCAACTTTACAAGGCGCAGGTTCGGCCTCACATGGAATACTGTTCCCATCTCTGGGCTGGGGCCCCCCAGTGCCAGCTCCTTCCACTTGACCGCATCCAGCGCAGAGCGGTTCGAATCGTCGACGACCGAGTCCTTTCCGATCGGCTCGACTCATTGGCGCTGCGAAGAGATGTTGCATCTCTTTGCATTTTCTTTCGCATTTACCACGGGGAGTGCTCTGAGGAATTGTTCGGATTAATCCCACCTGCCAAATTTCACGAGCGCACATCGCGGCAGAACTCCCGATACCATCCACACCATTTGGATGATTGGCGGTCCACCACTGTGCAATTTAGAAGATGTTTTCTTCCTTGCACAACTTCCTTGTGGAATAGTTTACCACCAGCGATTTTTCCGGACCGATACGACTTAGGGACCTCCAAGTAAAGAGCCTACTCCTTTTTAATAGGCCGGCAACGCATCTGCAATTCCCCTGATGTTGCGGTTGTTCGTGGGCGGCGGTAGTCACTTACCATCAGGTGAGCCGCATGCTCGTTTGCCCCCTCTCCTATAAAAAAAATCGCATAATGATATTCACAGTTTCATCTACAGACTGTGATATTGAATCGGTAAGTAAATATTCATGTAAAATAAATAGTCAGGTATTTAAGAAACTTACACTACATTTTTATTTGCTTATATACATATATACATTTTTACAGGAACATAAAGAATCTTCTAGTATATGGAGCAAAATCATCAAGTCAAAAAGTGATGAATCGCCGCCGTTATCGCCATCTACTCGACCAAAAAAGAAAATAAAAAGAAAAATTTCCAAAAATGGTAGATCAACGCAGACCGAAAATCATTACATATGCTATGTGAAATCTGAAAAAGACGACTACACAGCTTATATAAGTTTGCCCGCTTCAAGATTCTTTAATCAAAGACTAGAAGATCCTCGAAATGAGCATTTTGGTACATTAATTGCATTTGAAATGGAGTCAGTCCCATACGAGATTCGATCGCAAGTGTATATGGACATAATAAATTTAATATATAACGCTCGGAAGGAGCTACATATATTAGATGAAGGTCCATGCCCATCTCCTGTTTTATGAAGAGAATTAACGCTGATTAAGTGCAATGTGAATAATGAAAATTAAGACTGATTAAAGCTAGTGATAATACCCAATAAGAAGAATGTTATGTTGATTAAAATAAATAATAATCTATAAATTTTTAAACCTTGGTTTCATTTATCGATAAATGGTTATTTCAACACTATGCAAAATATTAAATAAAAGTTCCTGGCGCTGGAGACACTCCACGTCAACCAAAGCGCGGCGGTGAAATGGTTAAATAAATGTTATTATTATCAACAAATCATTCGTGTTCTTTTTGCTTTTTAAAAAAATCAAATATCGTCATTAAAACCGTTGACGTAGACGTGATGCAGATATTTAAGTAATTAAAATTAAAAACCTATTATTTATTCTGTGGTAATACATAGTTATAGGGGTCGCTCACAGCGTCAAAAGCGCGAACAAACCGAGCTCGATCCCGCTGAAGCCTATGAAATAGTAAGGAACACGTACTTTTGTTTTAAACCTCTGTAAATCTAATGAAATTTAATTATTACGCAAAAATATCGATTAAAAAAAAAGTATAAAGATGACATTAAAATAGAATCAATTATAATGAGGTTGTTATAACTTAATTTGCTTAATTCTTCGTAAAGAAAGAAAATTATGTGTCCTGTCCAGTTTTAAGGGGACCTCCTACCATCCCTCAATTTTTTTTTGCGTGCACTATACCCGTCACGGCCAATCCCAGCACTACCACCCGGCAGCGAAGCTTCCATAGAAGCCGAGAAGCCAGGCTTGCCCTATCAAACTACTCAATCAATAATATCAACTAATAAAATAACTCGTAAACTGTTTCAAACTATTTCAAATTTCCGGCGCGCTCCTCTGTTCTACACAGGTCATGACCTCGTAGCCTTATTGTGTAAAGTCAACACTTGGCAGATTGCTTTCAATTCGAAATACACTGATTCGTGTTCTCTCTGTCTCAAAGCGAACACGCAATGGACTGTCAAAATTAATGAAAGCAAAGCAATATGGATGGACCCCAGTCGCGACAAAACTGTGCCATACTGCTGTCATAGAAAAGGAGTTGAGTTGAGCGATTAATCTTCTCTCTCGCACGCGTGTGCTTTTTACCGGGTTTTTTACCTGTGACAAAATGTTCTATAATGAAATATAACTACGATTGTTTATATAGCAATTAGTATGGAGCGATAAGCTGGGCTTTCAGTGTGAAGTTAGTCGAGCGCGGGGGCGCGCGAGCGATACTTTTGCAAGTTCACTTCACATTTCAATGTTTACTCTGTGTGTTTACTTGAGCGAATGAATATTGCGAGTTGAAAATTTATACTTTTTTTTAAAGATTTTTAGTGAAAATGGAGGATAATAGTATTCCTTGTGATTAATTGAAGTGTGTTAAAGTGCTAATCGGCAAGGAAAAGGTAAAATCTTTTAACTATGCCACAATTTCCTCCGCGGAACTTTGAGAAATACCTTTGTATTCAAGAGCGTCTTTCAGACTTATCAATTATCGCAATTGAAAAACAGTTATTGGTACAATTAAAACTTTCACCAACATTTTATGTACGTCCGCGTAAATCCAATCTTTCCTTAAGAAAAAGGGACGATACATAGTTTGTTAGTACTTTGTTCATGCTTTTCTTTTGTTCATGTATTGTATTATATGTAAACATCTTTTTCTTTCGCTCAAGCAAACCCAAGCCGCTTTTTTCAAAGCCACCGAAGGTATGCAATTGCTGATACAATTTCTTTGTTAAACACGTCCTCGACAGCTCTGAATATGAAACTGAAGAGTGGAGACAGATGAAGATTGGTGTATTTTTATAAAACTGCTAAAAACAATAAAATCATCTTGCCCTAGTTTGGAGCCCTAGCTTCGCCACTGCTACCACCCCACCCCCAGTACCACAACACTAGGAACGGCACTTTGCTCTCGAAAATACGACACGTGTTTCGCCTCTACACGAGGCATCCTCAGGTGAAGTAGACTCTGCGTAGGCTGGCCGCTAACCGCTAAATGAGCAGCGAGCCGAAACAGCTGCTATTTATACTACTTGCTGACGGAACTGCGCCTCACTTACGTAGCGAGTTTACACGGTTTCATTACGGAACCCCAGCAATACATGTAGGCCAAGCCTAAGCCAACGCGAGCGTAGATAAATTGATACAGTGCGAGTGCTACAGTCTACACGTTGGTCAAGTTCGAAAGAAACCAATGCCAACTACCAGTGTTCACGAGTTTTTGTGGGGCTAGGCATATGTTGGCTGTAATTAATTTTCATTGAGAATTGGAACGATATAGACGACGTAGAAGTTATTGCAGCTTCTGCTATTTATTTAATGAGTGCATATAATTATCGTGTCAGTGTACTCCGCAGTAAAGTTGTAAAAAATAAGAAGCAGTGATATTGTCGAAATTATTTTGAAGTTGCAACTTAGGGACTTAGGGACCTTCAAGAAAAGAGCGTACTCCTTTTTAAAAGGCCGGCAACGCATCTGCGATTCCCCTGGTGTTGCAGTTGTCCATGGGCGGCGGTAGTCACTTACCATCAGGTGAGCCGCATGCTCGTTTGCCCCCTCTCCTATAAAAAAAAACAAAAATAATTAAAACATAACATCTCACCGGAACGTATGCCAGGCTGGAACTGACATGGTCGCAGGCCGATTAACATGTGGACGCGACTTGCCGAGTTCAGGCGAGCGCGTTCTTTGATTTGTGCAGAAAAACCGACACTGTTCCGAAGTGAAATGAGTTGTGGCGAGCGATCCCGAGTAGCGGCAAGGCACGCCAAGCGAACCATATACACGTTGGCGCTTGCCTGCTAGGCGAGTGTCGACGAGCAACGGCGAAGCTAGACAAGTGGGCTATCTATACGTTGGTGCTCGCCTTCGCTCGGCCATGTATACCCAGCTTAAAACTTATGTAAAATTTTTATGTTTTGGGAATATTGAGAACACATTTTACCAGAAACCATTACTTGTAGGCCATACAAATACTTGTTCCGTGCGGTATTCGAACCCGCGGCCCTCAGCGCTGTAACTTTTAGCTAAGTCTGCGCCACGGAACCGGCAAAATTAATTTAATGAGAGCTTATTCTACACGCATATGACTTTAAATATAGACTTAATTGTATAAATCGATATCAACCAATAAATAATATTAAAAATCTGTTACATACCCAATAAATCCATAGCGTAAACCGGTCGCTTCGCCGCCAATGCATCGAGGTTAAGACACCATAACGCTAACCCTGCTCCCATGCCATGAAGCAGTACAAGGGGCACTCGTGGTGACTCCTCTTTTAATGAAATTGTCCAAATCTTATCACTCTGTCCCACCACTGAACCGATATCTACGTAAAAACGTTTGTATGCTGTTTTCACACCTAAAGAACAAATACATATTACTTTAGAAAGAACTAATCCACAACAATCAGGTATACCTCAAAACTTGAAAACGAGACTGTACACCCAGTGCGTGTTGCCAGTGATGACATACGGAACTGAGACGTGGTCCTTCACTGCTGGCCGGATGAGGAAGCTCAAGGTCGCTCAGCGAGCTATGGAGAGGGCTATGCTCGGAGTTTCTCTGCGTGATAAACTCAGAAATGAGGATATCCGCAGCAGAACTAGAGTGACCGACATAGCCCAACGGATTAGTAATCTGAAGTGGCAATGGGCCGGCCATATAGCTCGAAGAACCGACAACCGATGGGGAAGAAAGGTTCTCGAGTGGCAGCCTCGTACCGGCAGGCGAAGTGTAGGGCGTCCCCCCACTAGATGGAGTGACGACCTGGTAAGATATGCAGGAAGTCGATGGATGCAGGTGGCTCAGGACCGTGCTTTGTGGCATTCTTTGGGGGAGGCCTATGTTCAGCAGTGGACTTGTGAAGGGCTGTAATGATGATAATGATGATGATCGATCTCATTTCATCCCGTGGATATCGTAAGAGACGATAAAAAAACTTTTTGAAGTGAAACTTTTTACGGTGAGGCTTATAAATTCTGATCCGCAACCTTTTTGTGTGACGAAAGTGGTGCGGGTAAACACTACGTACCGGGTCATTCAGGTCGATCATACAAATCGTGAACGCAGGCCATTACATACCATAAAGTATGTAGTAATACAGTTACAATTATAAGACCACGGTCTTTTGTTCAAATACTAATGTTATATTAATTTTATTTAAGACAGTTACCAAGGTACACGTATTTATTTTAAAAAAGAGTGTGAGCATTTGAATAACAGCGCCATCTACTACATTCTATAGGTGAAGTCATTTTAGCGAACAAAAATGGATTGACTCTCAAGGTGGTGCGTAGGGTAGACGGTGCAAAAACATAATCATAAATCCAAAAAAAAAAATAATCGGTAAGTTTTGAAATCATGGATTGGACAAACATGACAATATTTTTTGTGATTAAGCCCTCTAGCGTCTTTTCTACGTACCACCATGAGAGTTAATCAATTTTGGTTTCATAAAATAACTTTTGTAGAATGAAGTAGATGGCGATATAAAAAAATGAACAAGGAAAGTAATTTGAAGCCCTTTATGGCAGAGAAGCATAGTAACAATTTATAAGTTTTCATTTACCTAAATAAATTTTTGTTGACATAATATAAAACTGTGGCTTAATTAAACTAAAATTACATAAATAGTAGATATTTACCTAATTAACAAATTAAACCGGTAATTTTTCTTCTTAAGATCGAAGAAGATGATGCACTATGACTGTGACCATGAAGCAAATACAAAGAGGAGACGACATAAGCAACTGTACACTGTGATTCTAAGTAGGTCCTGACGTCATCATGTGGACATGGCTTTAATTAGTGTACTGTCAGCATTCGTCCTGTGCGCTTATATGTTGAAAATCGAAAATCGGTGTATTTTCGTAGTATTAAGAACAAAAGGATGAAGTGTTGTGTTTTATCGTGTAAAAAGTACTCAGATAGACGTTCTGATGCTATGGATGGCATCACATTTCATTTGCAAGTAATTTTACACCTAATTTATTAAAATAGTTCTAGAAAAATCTCTATGCGTCGGTTTTCAAATATACTTAAATATATTCGACACTAGATGGCGACACTTTGTGTCACGTGAACTAAAAATATAAAGGTACGTAGAGCTCAGTATTGGTAAAATAATTATAATTTTATTATATAATTACATACGGAGGTGCTGAAATTTGTTTTGCATTCAGAAATAAAGAAACTTTAATCGCCAAAATATTATTTTTATAATTTATAATCATTTTGTGAACAGGTCGCTATCTATGGTCAAGATAGCTATACTACATTGCAACATCGATATGGAACGATTCGAGTAGTTTACTATTTATCGGTAGATGTAGATAGTGTAAACTAGGCGGGGCTTGGCACATCCCCTCACCCCGCAAATTGTCATGCGTTGTTACATAGTGAAATCTAATTACAACACCTCGTCTTTGTATTTGCTTCATGACTGTGATACATATGTATTAAATTTTATGAAAATAAATGAATGTTATATACAATCTATGCTATTCAAAAATCATTGGTGAATAATTGAAATGTTTCCCTTAAATAACAAAAGTTTCACTTCTATAGTGTCTTCACGACACACATTTTTATAGGATAAGGGTGACAAACGAGTGGTGGAATCAAAATGCAGATGCGTTGTCACCCGTGAGAACTAAGATAGAATGCCTCGTTTCCAGTAAAAGGGGTATCTGGATCTCTGCATTCAGCACCAGTAATCATGTTCTACTTCAGTGTGTGTTCGCTTTTGGCACAGAATAAATAATAGCACTATGTACAGAAGTTGCAAATCACTAATCAGCTGGTGATCCTCAAGGTACCTCATGAGCTGGCAGTTTTTAATGGATTTCATTATTTTGGAGAACAAGAAGGTGATGGCGATAGGCCTGTAGTTAGACGGGTCTGAGCTGTCGTCTTTTTGAGGAATCGGGTGGACCAAAGCTGTCTTCCATGAATTCGGGACTACGCCGAGGGAGTAGGAATACAGGGAAAATGCGCGTTAAAACCGGTACCAACTCCGGAGCACAAGTCTTCAGCACAATAGGAGGGACTCCACCAGGCCCACTCGTATTTTTGATGTCCAGGGAGAGGAGTTCTTTGTGCACCGAGCGCTGTGTAAACAGAACATCCTGCATGATGCACTCACACCGCGGGATGGTCGGCGGTGTGTTTCCCCCGTCATCGAGAGTCGACTTGGACGTAAAGAGAAAGCCTAGCAGATCGACTTTCTTTTGTAGAGATGGCAGAGATGGCTGACAGAAGTTCCCTTGGACAGTCTTGGCGAGAGACCAAAATGTACGTGTTCCTGAAGAAAATCATACTAGTTTCTCGATAATTTAGCCGATGTGCCCTGACTTTGCCTTAGCAATGACACTTAAAGGAACTGGAGACATAATTAAACTTATTTTTAAGAGCGCTGATGTTTGCATCCCGAGACGTTGTTACGTCAGCCCAGGCCCGGTAGCACTTCTGCTTATGGCGTAATGCAATTCTACAGGAGTGTCCAAAGCATGGCTGAGTTCTGCGACCTATAGGCACCACAGATGATGGAATAAAAAGTTACATTCCCTGAAGTACCACATCAACGATAGACTAAGCAACAACGTTGGGATCATCCGGTGACAAGCAAACCCGCTCCCAAGGGCAGGATGCAAAAACAGACTGCATCCTATCCCAATATGCTGACTTGTAGTGCCAAACACGGCAGAAAACTGCAGAACGCAATCGCGATCGGAGCGTGAGTGGGACCGTACTCCGGAACAGACAATGGTCTGAAGAGCCACGAGGGGCATCGACGGACACCTGATATCCGTCCGGATGAGAGGTCAGCAGAAGCTCCCACAGGGAAGGTGCAAAATCCTGCACATCTGGGATCCGCGGAGGTCGTCGCTGCCTACACGCAGCCATAGGATGGAGAGCCGGAAGGCCGAGGCATCGAAAACAGATATCCTCTCTGACGTATACGCAAACTCCACAAAGGAGTATTCTAATTTGTACCCCGGGTAGGAGAAATATGCACTCCCCCCCCCCCCCCCCGTCCCCCCAGGAATACGTGGGATGGCCTGAGCACCCACGCTGATAACCCTGACCTCCACAGAAGATTGGGCCCGCAACGATACATAATCGGGAATGAAGGCTACTTTGAAAAACAAAGTTAATAGCAACTTATTACTTTCGCATATTATCTGTTTTTAACATCCGACAAAACAGGGGCTGTTATGTGTTTGTAGTGTGTATCTGTGTATTTGTGTGTCTATCTGTGACATCATAGGTCCTGAGCTATAATATGAAATATACAAAAGAAAAAAAAACTTAATCAAAATCGGTTAATTCGTTCAAGAACGGATTTGATTAAGTGTTTTTTTTTTGTTTGAACGGTGCTTTAATCGAGTATTCTTAGCTATGTCTTAAGAAAATCTGTCCAGTCATTTGAAGATCATCAGTTCTTTTTGTTTCGCGCGTTTTGAAAATTTCTAATTTTAGTAATTGAGTTTCTGATATTTTAGAATTTTGTCAATCATACGTAATGCATACGTATGATTTATGTTATAAAGTTAGTGTTCATTCATTCATTACAGCTTTTTAAAGTCTACCGCTGAACATAGACCTCTCCCAAAGGTTGCCACATATTTAGATATTTACCATAGCTACCACGTTTGTAGCAGGCTAATTTGCTATCGCAGTTCTTTAATTATTTTGAGTGGTTATGTAGAAGATACCGTTGCCCATCTCATTTTAGTTTCCTCATGTCGCCTCTTATGGCACCACCGTCCCCTACCAAGGATGATTCGCAAGGCTATTAAAAAAAACGAGAGACGATGGTAGGATGCTACCATCTACTTGGGATGCTATAATCAATGAAATTAAATGCAGATGCGTTGTCACCCGTGAGGACTAAGATGGAATGCCTCTTTTCCAGTAAAAAGGGTCGCCGGTTCACTACACTCACCATACGAAACACAGCAGTGTTAAACTGCTATTTTACGCTAGTATTCTGTGAGAGCGTGGTCCTTCCCCGGTCGACCCGACCCATTCATTTTACAACTATACTATTAAAATAGCTGCAGCATGGCTCTACCAAACACGTATAAAGTGTTTAATAACTCCCCACTTAAAACTTAAAAATGAAGATATCCACAGTAGAATCAGAGTAACCGACATAGCCAAATGGATTAGTAATCTGAAGTGACAATGGGTCGGCCATATAGCTGTAAGAACCGACAACCGATGAGGAAGAAAGTTTGTCGAATGGGCAGCCTCGTACCGGCAGGCGAAGTATTGGGCGGACCCCCACTAGATGAAGTTACGACCTGGTAAAACATGCAGGAAGTCGATGGATACAGTTGGCTCAGGACCATGCTTTGTGGTATTCCTTTTGGGAGGCCTATGTTCAGCAGTGGACTTGTGAAGGGATGTAATGAATTAATGAAGAAAACTCCCTACTTAGATGTTATTGTCGTTATATATTATGATAAAATTTGATGTAGTTGAATAGCGTCATGACAGTTTATCTACAATGAAGCACAATCATACTCAAATCTCTATCGCGAACGGGGTGCGCAATTGGGACGCAATTTAATAATTATAAGATTGAACTATCAAATGCAGGATACAGATAACGCCTAGTGTTTTATAATAATAATCATATTTTGCATTGACGTAGGAAACTGACGATCGAATCAGTGTCAGAACTGTTACGTCGCGCAGTTGACACTTTGCTGAGGCATTGTCAGTGAGCATTGGCAAAATTGAAGGGGAAATGACCTGTTAACCTAACGTTATGAGTGTATTGACGTGTATTATACGTTTTACCCATTTATCCCATAAAATTACGTTCAACCAATATGTATGACGACAAGGTGGAGCTGGACGTGACAGCATATGGATCATAAGTGGTGCGCGAGGTGCTCGATAAAAAGATATCGGCTGCGATGATATCGAACATCAAAATGTACGATATGAAGCTATTCCCTTATCGGCTGAAGATGTTGCACAAATTGCAGAACAACATGAAGACGTGGATATTACCATCAATCTCTCAGTTGTAGCGTACACAGACGATGGTCGAATAGTTGCCTAAGACAGAGCAAAGACGAGCACATTATGTAGGCAATTTTAGTAACCTCACAGAGCTATGCTGTAACGTATTATGGCTGCATCTTAAATGGATAAGATCGACCGGCAAATGACCACGGTCACGCAGAATACCAGTGTAAATAACAGCATGAAACTGCTGCGCTCGCGTGGAGTGACAAAAACCAAAGCCCGCGTGTAATTTAGGGTTTTAATTTTACTGAACCCTAATTCTTTTTCTAAAATATAAGTAGCCCAAGTTACTCCTTATAACATCAGCTATCTGCCAGTGAAAGCCGTTTCGGAGATTAGCCGGAACAAACAGACAGACAGACAAACAATTATTTTTTTAAATTGTGTTTTTGTTATAAGTACCGTATATACTTTTTTTAGTAAAAAGCTGTTATTTTAGCATTACAAACAGATACTTCAATTTTATTTATTGGTATGTATATACATATAGACAAGGTATTCCATCTTAGTCTCCAGGCGTGACTGATGCGATTTGATTCTTGGTAAAGGAATGTAAATAAATCAGGTGGTCGGTATGCTTCTTTACGAGCTTAAGTTTCGTATTCGAGTTCTATAATACACTTTCAATGGAAGACTGTATCTACGGAGAAGGAACTCCAAGTGGGGGTAGGGGTTATCGCAAATCTTTATATATAAAAATTACGTTATTTGTCCACGATGGACTCCTAAACTATTGAACTGATTTCAATAAAATTGTGCACACTGTGTGCATTTTGAGCCAACTTGAGAGATAGGATAGTTTTTATCCCGATAAATGACCCTCAAAAATTTTTATTGCGTATTTAAAAGGGCATTATTAGAAAGGGCAGAACAACGTCTGGCTGGCGAGCTAGTAATTTATAAATATGAATTACTTTCGCCACTGACCTACATATTATATAATTTATAACATTGCTTGATTTTTTAAAAACATTTACTTGCTAATACTTCCGCAACTGTATCGCCATCGACATTATCTTATCAATCATATTCAAAGTCAAATTGCATAAGTTGTATTAAACTTTATACCATTTTTATTTATCACAATGACTAATGTTGTGTCATCTATTTAAATCCCTTATTAATTGTGAACATAACAATAGTTCCGATTTGTTTCTAGAATAGTCTAATAACATTAATATTTTTATATTAGCAGATTTTACGAAATACATCTTCTCATAATTGACTGACACAAATTGTAATGAAGTGCGGGTACTTAGTGAAATAAATAACCGCAAAACTTACAAAGCCTATCTAATTTGAATTCTTTTTTTCATTCCAATCTATCCATATAATATTAAATGTCGTTACATACTATTAATATCACACGATGTCGGTTTAAGAATATCGCCAATTTATCTAGCCTTATAAATTTTGACTTATTTAAGACTTAAACAGGAGAAGAAAAAAGTCCAGCTGGGTTTCCTGCTGGTTCTTTCCAGGACAGAGGTTGTTTCGGAACCAGTAGTAAAGTAAAAAAATGACTCAATAAGAATTACATGTAATGTATATTGCATAAAAAAAATTATATCTTTATATATAAAAATTACGTGACACATTGTTTGTCCGCGATGAACTCCTAAACTATTGAACTGATTTCAATGAAAGTTTGTACACTGTGTGCAGTTTGGTCCAACTTGAGAGATAGGATACTTTTTATCCCGATAAGTGACCTTCAATATTTTTTTATTGCGAATTTAAGGATTTTGTCATAGCAAGAGGCGTCGGAAAGGGCAGAATAACGTCTGCCTGGCCAGCTAGTATTTATATATATTTTTTAATATATTTGTGGCTATTCTTCATTTAGTAGGCCAGTAATAATAATATAACTGGAACTATTAGTAGTAAATATAAATAATATCTATACATATAATAAAAATGTAAATAGACGATGTCTGTACATTTTAGATTTATATAATAAAAGTGATTGAGTGGTACTAAAAATAAGTAATTAAATACATTTCTACCATTTTTAGAATTTTCTGTCTGTCTGTCTGTCTGTCTGTCTGTCTGTCTGTTTGTTTGTTAACGTATCACGTATAAAGTACCAATTTATATCAGAAGAATCGTTAAAGAATTTATAAAGTGTATCTTCAGGTTACATTTAGTCTTTATTTCATTAAAATTAGTTCATTCCATCAAAAGTTATGATAAATATTCTGAAGTATGGCTACAAAGTATAGGTACGAATTTGTTCAATGGTGGCGTTTGTTGAGTCATCAAGTACATTTTAAAGTAATATCATATTATAAATCATAACATAATTAAATGATGTAAAATAATGTTCTATAATGATGAAATTATATCTAAAACGCAGTAAACAAAAGTATTGCATAAAGAACGTAATAAATATATTAAAAAATATATTAACCTTATTATGTAAATCTAAAGTACAATAGTTAACCCATTTCATCGATAGATGGTGGTGTTGCACAAATGTCATGCAAGAAGGCAGGTTGTGGTTTTTTTTTCTGTAAATGACTTTTCATATTTGCTGTTAATCTTTAAATTACTCGCTGCCCTACTGTGTATTGACAATGTCATTTATTCTTTACCGCCGAGTACTCTACATGGTAAATCAAATTTTAAAAGAGCTATTAACAATTTCGTTGGTTTCGGCGAGGATCAAACTTTCTTTCTTGCTTACGATGTAGGCCTGATTTGTAAGTTCTTTTAAGTTTTTTTATTGTATCAATCGCGTTAATTAATCTCTTTTATTTTTAGAATTGATTTTAACAGCGCCATCTATCCTTATATCTCTATACATGCGGTAATCACATGCTGTGTCTGATTCTGTACATTGTATAGTATATTAATTTGTGACTAAAATCATTATGGAGACTGAAACTCATTAAATAAGTACATTTTTATAATTTTTAGAATTGTCTGTCTGTCTGTTTGTTTATGAACGCATCACGTCTTAAGTAAACATCTTTTTTTCAAAGAAATTGTTTAGAAAATCATAAAGCATATCACCCAATTCAAAGATTAACTTTGTTTTATTAAAATTGGTTAATTCTATCGAAAGTTTTGATTATTATTTTGAAATGTAGGTTCGATTTGTTTAAAGGCGCCATAAAGCCTCAGAAGTAGTAATAAAATGATTCCTTTTTATAAAAAAACGTTTTATTATAATATATTTATACTTTAAACACAGTAAACAAAAAATATGTTTTCCTTAAATTAAAAAAGGATGTCTTCCACGAAGAACGTAATAGATGGCGTTGTACGTTAACGAGTCCATTCAAGCTGAAAGAGCCGTGTAGGGTGTAAGCTAACAGCACAAACATCATCAAAAACAGATATCAGAAAAAAGATACGTATGCCCAAGATAAACGTAGCAAAATTGCATCAAAAACAATATGTCATGATGTTGTTTTATACCAAGAATCCACCTTATATCAAATAACTTTCCTTTCAGTTCTAAGCGTGTTCTGTTCCCACTTCCCATTCCCAGTCAGCGTGTGTTATGCGATGACCGATGACCGTAAATAAAGCGCAAGGTCAAACTTTACGCGTTGCAGGAGTGGACCTCAGTACTGACTGTTTTGCACATGGCCAACTCTATGTTGCTTTTTCCCGCGTTAGTAGCTCCCGTAACATTTTCCTGTACGCCCCGGCTGTCTACTTCTAACGTCGTTTACACAGAAGTTCTATCACAAACGACTCAGAACTTTGAGCATAACGATTTATTTTGGTGCCACTTATTCATACAGTAATGATATAAATCTTTTAATATTCTCTTACCTAAACATCAAATTCTTTAAGTAAAACCTATATACGCGAGCTACGCCGCGGGCACAGCTAGTATACTAATAATACTCACATGACAATATTTTCTTCTCAACATTCCTCAACATCTCATCTGACTGACGCGTCCAGCTGAACCAACCACCGGTCCAACTAGAAACAAAAGATCAAAAATGTATCTTAGCTTTATTTTTTCAAGCAAATACACACGTTCCTCAGTAGAGTAATTACTTATCCGATGCTGGTTATGGCTGGTCTCGAGGATTTGAGCACCAGTGACGGTTTAAGCTGTAAGTGGTCTAACTGTACTGAATTTTAAAACCTTTTTTGAAAAAAAAAATTATTTATACACGGAAAAATTGTAGAGACCTTTAATAGCTCAGGGTTTAAAAGATGGGACGATGGATTATAAGGCATGATAGATGTTTTATGCTGTAGTGATACGGTGGTGGTTGTCATTATTAATTTTTAAAATTAGAAACCGAGAAAAGAACATATTTATTTAGTAAAAACAATATAACAAAGAAATCAATCAATTTCGTCAGGTGGACTGCGTGCTCGTTGGTCACTCTATTATATATTTAAAAAAAACAAGCCATACTGTCACAAATAATTACATTACGGCTACTTTAACTTGACAGCAAATCAATCTCTCAAAACTTATGCATTGACATAATGTTGTCACAAGGCAAAAATAAACTTAAATAAAAATAAACTAACAATCCCTTTTTTTACCTAAGCTAGCAAGCAGGTTGGCAACTGCAGTTTATTTTTTATTTTTAGTAGTTATTGGGAAAATGCTGTTACCCATCTGTGGAATTGTTGCCCATTGCCGCCTCTTAAGACACCCATGGAAGAATATGAGGTAGTGGATATTCTACCACCGCCACTACATGGTCCCAGAAATCGTTTACAATAAATTAATTTAAATTTACTTTACTTTTATTTTAAGTTTATTTGAAAAACCCACACACACACACAAACTATAGAATTTAATAGACAGCTTGTTCAACAAGGTTTTTTAATTTCTCAATATAAGACTTAATTTCTCGATAAAATTTTCACTCTAAACTCATGGGTTTAGAAAGAGGACAATATGTGATAAACTACGAGTAGTTAGAACACAAGGCTTCCAAAAGATGGTTGTATAAAGCTATCTCGTTTATGCCAAACAGAGAATACCCAGACCAGCGACAGGTATAGCAGTATTGAGGGTGCAAGACATCTGCTACAATCCTTCTTATAATAGGAGAGATCCATGATCAACAGTGGCTTTCTATGTGCTCATTATGAAATAAAACAAAAGTATAGTCAATTATATAGTAATTCTTATTTTAACCTAAGTTTTATTTCATACATTGTTTTCTCTGGTCAGGTCAGGTTAGGGATATTTCCTTTCCACCTTAAAAAATCCACCCTAGGGTGTATAACTGGAAAGGAGTGTTCATCTATTAACCCCAGATCGGGTGGATCGGAATACACTTTCATTTATATAAATTCGTAACTTTTAATGTACATTTGCAATCGTTTTCTAAATTTATTTACTACAACAGATGTGTAGTGAAGAACTGGGCGTATTTTGCAAGCATTCCAAGAACATTACTATTGGATGTTTGTCTTTAACTTCATTTTAAATTATTTTATGCCAAAATTCCAATGCATCTGTAATCTTGTGAGCTACTCATTTTATTACAGCGTTGACTTTTCGAACAAAAAGTGTGTATATATATTTTATAGGTAATGTCTATTAAGTATCTTGGGCCAGTTTTTATCATGTTTCTGTAAATGACTGTACACAGCCGAGGATGAAAATCGGGAGAAAAATAATACATTATACGAATTTTGATTATCCACCCTGAGGTGGGGATAGATGAACATGCATTTCTGAGTATCCACCCTAGGGTGGATAAACGGAATAACCCCAGGTCAGAAGTTGTAATTATGTACACTTCCTAAAAATTTGTACACACACACACACACACACACACACACACACACACACACACACCCACACGCTCGCACACATACACGCGCACACGCGCACACACACACACACACACACACACACACACACACACACACACACACACACACACACACTAATAAAATAATTAAGATTCTTCTAGGGTCAGAAGTTATAATTATGTGGTCTTCCTAAAATTAGTACATGCACACACACACACACACACGCACACACACACACACACACACACACACACACACGCACGCACGCGCGCACGCACGCACGCACGCGCACGCTCACGCTCACACACACACACACACACACACACACACACACACACACACGCACGCACGCGCGCACGCACGCACGCGCACGCTCACGCTCACACACACACACACACACACACACACACACACACACACACACACACACACACACACGCACACACACACGCACACACACACGCACACACACACGCACACACGCGCAAACACGCGCACACACGCGCACACACAAAGGACTTAAGATTTTGTCAATATTTGTAACTGCATATCTTGTTACTTATGTTGAACACTTTTGCTGAACTAATTAATTATTGCAATAAAGATTTTAAAAAATAACAACACAAAACATAAGGTGGTTATGTTATAAGGACTCTGTTATACTAAACAGAAAGGTATGTAAAAATATAATGTTGTTTCGAGGTAAAGAATTTTAATTCAAATGGATGAAATTAGAAATCCTATTTTCCTTAATTAATAAACATACTTTATAATACTAAAACTACACATTACATGCATGAAAAATAAAATTCACATAGCAACCTGCTTGTTTAACCTCATTGAAGCTACTTTTATAATATATTTGATCTGAAAATATAAAGTATTTTAACATATTGATTTAATAACAATGAACATATTACAGTAAGTATAGTATAAGTGGCTGAAACTGAACTAAATGTCTAAATAATTTTAAAAGATAATATGTTATAGTGTAACATAAAATATACATATTTGCTATATTTACCTATTTAAAGATAGAGATATACACTGCCAGCCAAAAGTTTAAGACCACACTTAAACAATATAATTATCTATAAATTGTAATGAAATCCAATAAGATAAATAAAAGAAATGTACACCTGCATATTCTATTGTTAATATTGAATATCTAAAGTCATTCTTTTATGTACTTTCAAGTTATTGGACAATAAACATGTATTGTTTCCAAACACTGTTTTCAACAGTGGTAGAGCCACGCGGCAGCTGTTACTGTCGCACGGATGGGCCGGCTCGAACCGGGGTGGTACCACGACCTCACAGAAAACCAGCGTGAAGTAGAGGTTTACCTCTGCGTTTCGCGGAGTGGTGAGTGCAGGTGGCCGGAGGCCCTTTTTACTGGAAATGAGGCATTTCATCTTAGTCCTCACGGGTGTCAACGCATCTACATTTTGATTTGTAATAGAGGATAGATGTAGATGTCTATGGGCCGCAGCAACCACTACACACTTACCATCAGGTGGACTGTGTGCTCGTTTGTCACCATTATCCTATAAAAAAAAAAAAAAAAAAAAAAACTGACAAACGCTGCTTTAGAGCCAGGTGGTAGAGTCATAATAATATTTTTATGATGGGCTAATAACTAATTGCTTTGCTTTTGTTTCCCATTGGTCAATAATTAAGATTGTTTAGCTTCTAAAACCACGTGTTTCTGACTTTTTATTACCTGAGTTTACATGGTTTTGTTCAAAAACAATCTCAATTAGTCTAAACTTGTGGTTTCTACAGTGAAGATGTCTTAACATGGAAAAAGCACGCGAAATTAGCAGTAAAGTGCATTCTGCCATCTTTGTTTTACATAATGAAGGCAAATCCGAATGTGAGATTGCTTTACAATTGAAGTTATCGAAGACTTGTGTTCATGGCACAATAATTAGATACAGGGAGACAGGCACTTTTCAAGAGTGTCAACGCTCGGGAAAGCCGAGAGCTATCACACGTCAAGTGAAGATCATTTCATTGTTGTTGCCAGCAAGCGAAATAGACGCTTAACAGCACCGGAAATCCGCGTTGAAGTAAACAAAACCCGAGTTAAACCTTTAACCTCATGAGAAAAAATGTGGAATGCTTTGTATGATAGTTGGAGCAATATCAAATGACACTATTAACAAAATGATTGCCCATATGCCGAGACTTGTGAAAAAAGTCATAGAATACAAAGGAGGATTTTTTGATGAAAAATCAGTTTAGCTAACAATAGTCTTTTTTAGCATGGACTGTTAATATTTCTATATACTTTTCAAATATAATGATTGTCAAAAAGTGTTTTATTGGATGATTTAACAGTTTAATTAAACATTTAATATTCTATTGGAGTTTTATTTAATTTTCCTACTTTAATTAATGTGGTCTTAAAGTTTTGGCCTGCAGCGTATTGAAAGAATTTATTAGAAAAAACTTGGGTAAAAAAATGGAACACATTAAGAAAATTTAACAGAAAGAAATGTTGATATGATGAAATGGACACAATAAATTGTAAAAATGCTAACTTTGGCATAAATAAAATGTTATAAGATGATACAGTAATGACTAATTATTTACCTTAGAATACCAATAATAGCATGATAAATGAGTGGCATTAGATAATGAGTCCAAATGCGACTGAGTCCAGGCATTAGGCGTGTGTATCTCTTTACGGAAACGACTCACTGATACGAATCACTGAAGTGACACAAAAGATTGGTTCAGTAACAACGTTTCAAATGTATCATTTGTATCTGGAACAGTGAAACATTACTTTGCTCTTTGCTCATTTCGGGCGACGCGTCGCTTGCGAGGCGACTGAGCCACGAGCGAGAGAGAGAGACTGAGACAATGATTAACTTAACTATTGACTCACGAGTGGCGAGTGAGCGGGCGAAATAATTATAATCCACACAAGTCAGATAGAGATAACAAATAAGAAGTGTATCCTCAACTCGTACGGATTTTCACTGACGTTATTCATGCACGTAAAAATTACCATATATGTCAAATACTATACGGTCGTTTTTTGTATGTAACGTTTGCATTAACAAGTTGACATTTTACGTTGATGCGGCACTTGTCAAATTGTTTATATTCATTAGCGCCTGTTTACGAAAACATACTGAGTTACGTTTAGGATTTCTTTGCGTAGTGATTATTGTGAATTTTACGAGTAAATTCTGTGTGCATAGACATTGCTGTTTTGTGTAAATTGACATTTTTGTAAATAATGAATTGACATAGTGACATTTTTGTTAAAGTATGAAGGAGAATCGATTTTATATTCAATCTTATTACGGTACACAATAAATAATCTAAGCACTTATATTATTCAGCATGGTTGCCACATAATATTGCACGGATCAGTCAGTAATAAACGCCCGCGACGCAACTTAATGTACCTATTCGGAACATTCTTTCTTTTATATCTTTTGCGGCGATGATACAAATGAGCCAAATGAAACATATCAGTGTTTCGGAACATTTCAGTGATCAAGATGCAAATGTTCCAATCCCAAAAATGATACACTTTGCCCACCTCCACCAGGCATTACAAACAACAAGGCATGAGAGACGAATGTTTGGAACTCCTACAATGTAAAATAAGCACAAAAGGTATATAATAAATGTCATAGATTTAAAAATCAATTTTACAGAATATATATTCTGTAAAATTGATTTTTTGATTGTCAGCATTAAACTTGGAAAATATAAAATCATTGCGCAACTATGCCTTGAAATTTAAGTCTAAGTTAGTTCCATAAAATGCAAAATAAAATGTAAACAGAAAAATATTAACCTGGATTTAGTCGTTTCTAAATTTAATTCACTACCCATTTGACCAATCAACCACAAAAACTCAATTACTAAATTCACGTGCTACAAAAATATTTTATTATATTGTCAGTAACCTTACGGTTGTCTATTGCCTACAGAAAACTAAATGACTAATGATTCATTTATTTTCATTGATAAGAGTACAACACAGAATACTTTACTCCTAGCGGAGTACAAAGAATTAGAAAACCGCAATTTCCCACAATACGCTAATGTCAATGTCAAATTGACATCGTCAATTGTCATTACCTTTTTTTTAAACTGGCTTTACGGCTCTGGGTTCTATCCCTTCTGAGCCTAAAGTTACAATGTATAATTATCTTTCTTAGTACACTGCTTCACAATATGTTGATGCGTCAAATTGTGTAGCCCTTGGGAGATTTAAGCGGCAACTTGAGTCAGCAGACAGCTGACAGTTGGCGATGGTATCTCAAGGCGCCTAAGCAGACATACACCTTATTAGCTATGAGCATTATAACGTATAGACAGTTATGGAAACGTCTATTTACTTTATAACGTATAGATAGTTATACATAACGCTCATAACTGTCTATTTCTTATAACAATCCGCAACGCACAGAGTACCTTTGAACCGCAACGCTGCAACGTGATAGTTATACATAACGCTCATAACTGTCTATTTCTTATAACAACCCGCAACGCACAGAGTACCTTTGAACCGCAATGCTGCAACGTTGCGTTGGCTTTGAATCGTGATTCGTGATATTACAACATCACGCACACGCTGCCGTACAAAAACAAATGTTATGCCGTGTACGATAAGAATGAAACTGCAGCGGGGCTCGTATTGAAACGTGTAGGTAAGCGAAGCGAAATTCGAGTAATAAGTTTATTTTTAAAATTTTTATTTATTTTCGTATTATGGGTTGATTGTAATGTAATAAATTACATTATAACTTATCCAAAACATAGCAAACAAACAAATCAAATTAAAACATAAATACTTCTAATTAGCATAATAAATAAATTAAAGCAAAAAAGTGTTGTACAAAATTATACGGTATGTAAAGATTATTTTAAGTAAAAAATACTAGCTAAATCGCCGCCGTCTGTTGGTAGTGTGCCCAAAAGACTAGCTGAGTTGCCTCGCTGTATTGCGAGGCTGATCCTCTGACCAAAATATCTGCCAGCTTTTGGGTCACCAGAGACATTGACAAGACGTGATGAGATATCTCTGTACAAATGCCTTGCTTCAGGACCCCACGGCCCCAGTGTTTCTATATCAAACGGCACAAACATGTATCCTTCTCCGAGGGCTGCATATTTGCGCTGCTTGTTAGACTCGGCAACAGCAGCAGCTGCACCTGCCTTCTGTGCAGTCGCCGCGAGATGTGATTGCGCTAATGAGTCAACACAAGTCGCATCCCATACTAAGGAGCGCCCATTTTTCCTTGGAATAAGCGTCATTCCATCAGGCCTCTTGCCATCGTCCCGCAATATACCGCTTGGCTCTAAAATTACAGGTACGTTGGCACTGGTTAAGGCCCGTCGAATGACGTCATTAAATTTAGTTTATTTCTTTCTTTTTATATAGATACTTGTATAGCTATTTAAAATTGTCAATGTGTATTTTTTAATGAAGCAATTTTAAACCTCCTGCTGTTTATTATAAAATTCTACACAGTAAATACGAGTTTTTGCCATATATTGAAAAATAACACTTGTGCCCCAAAATGTAAGGATTAAACTGCATTAATAGCCTTGACCTTGTTAAGACGAAATATTATTGTTGACCTTCTGTCCTTCAACATTTGAACTTGAGTTTTCATATTAATTAGATCTCTGAGGAACAAGTGCAATAATAAATTTTGGGTGTAATATTATTATTTAAAAACTTTGCTTTATTTGCTAATTCAAAGTTTATTTTGAAACATAAAGCACGCATAATATCACATTAGTGTTTTTATAAGAAGTCTAAAAATGAACAAAAAGGTTTATAAATATTTATTTGATTTCGTGATTCTAAATATAGATATAGCTTCGTTTAAAGTTGTAATATAACAAAGAAAAAATGTCACGACAAAACAATGTGTTTTGTGGGAGTCTTTCGAAAACAACTGATAATTTAAATAAAAAAGCGCGTTGTAATATTTGTAAAAACGAATTTAGTTTTCAGACGACTTCAGGTTATCTGAAGTTACATTTACGGCAGCGATATATAGAAGCGTACACACAAGTTTCGTTAGAACAGCAAACGATTGCTGGATCTTCAAGACCTGTGAACACTTTGGGTGTCCTTGCGTCAGCACTAACTTAAAAGACAACTTTTTGAGCCAGCCTTCGATGTCAAATCCAACCTCCGTGATGCGATCAGCTCTACTGTACCGCAGTCTCAACACAAATGAGGAAAAATGGATGCCTTAATTCCTAGAAAGATGTCAAAAGATCAAAAGTACGAAGGAAAATTCATTTCAGCAACTAAATTAGTTTAGTAAAACGAAAATTATTTTATTTTGATGATAACTGTTCTATGACGGTATATTATTAAGTTGCGGTTACATGGAAAATAGACAGTTATGAATATAGGTAGTTATGATAACGTTATCCGTTGTACCATAACGATAACGTTACGTTATTTAGAAAAGACACAACGACACACCGCTACACCTTATCTTGAGAATAACATCATCATCAGAGCACTTTTTTCACCGTTTCCACTAACAGTTCACATGCGCAGACACTTAATAACAAAATCCCACCACTTTTACATTCAAAATCCACTTCAAACCATTATTTAAACAATAATACAGGAGCAGCCATCCGCCGCCGGTCAAGTTCCCCCCAAAACCCTCTGTCATTACCAACATCAGTGCTGCCAACAGATAAAACAACTCTCCACCAAATTCAACTTCTAAAACCACCAAAAAACGTGATGAAGAAAGTGATGGTTTTTGAAAGAGAAGAAAGTAAAACTTTATGTAAAATAAGAATAGAAGGGGAGTTGATTGAGCAAGTGGATGAGTTTGTATATTTGGGATGTTTATTTAGCAGGGATGGTAGATATGATAAGGATATAGAACGACGAGTGAACGCAGGAAATAGAGTGAATGGGGCTCTACACGCTATTGTGAGGAGTCAGAATGTGTCAACTAAGGCACGTATGGCAATTCATAATGCTGTGTTAGTACCCACTTTAATGTATGGTAGTGAAAGTTGGGTCTGGCAGAAGAAGCATGAGAGTAGAATAAATGCTGTAGAAATGCGTTCCTTAAGGAGTAAGCTAGGGCTGAATCTGAATGACAGGGTGAGAAATAGTGTAATAAGAGAAAAGTGTGGTTTGCAAGATGACGTTGTGACAAGGATTAAGAAAGGAATGCTTCGGTGGTTTGGTCACGTAGAAAGAATGAACGAGGAAAGAGTGACAAAGCAAATTTATGTTGCAGAAGTGAACGGCAGGGTCGGGAAGGGACGCCCTAGACGAAGGTTTATCGACCAGATCGGCGATACATTGAAAATGGGCCAGATTAGGAGTACCCTTAACCGACGAGCGTGTATGCGTAGATATATGGATGTGAAAGAGGCGAGAGAGGTGTGTCAGGATCGCGCCAAATGGAAGTCCGTAGTCTCTGCCTACCCCTCTGGGTGACAGGCGTGATTGTTTATGTTTATGTTTATGTCAAAAAACCACAAACAAAAAGCGACCCTGCTCTCATAATCCCAAATTTTCCATGAAATAAATTAACGAAAGAAAACAATAGGTATATTAGGAATTAGTTACCTTTATTATTACATACTGTGTAACAAATTCTATGTAATAACCCAATCAATCAACATACAAATAGTAAATCAAAAGTTAACACTAAGAATATAAAATGTTCAGATGACGAAACAAGTTTGTCCTCGTGAAATTGATGTACATAAGCTGCGCCTACGATACAAGAGAAAATCCTAGTAAACAAATATTGTACTTCTTGTTCAAGTGCTATTTTAAATTAAATATAAATATTCTTCAGATGAATCAATTTTGTCAGCACCATCATAAACGGTTTCCATCATTATCCTTGCAATTGTACTACAAAATTTGCATTTCACTAAACTTTAAGAGTTTTGAAGCCAAGAATCCGAAACTTTTACGTATACTGTGGTTTTGGCATAGTTACGTATGAACTCGCGAAAAGAGTGCAACACTGCTTTTACTGAGCAACTATTATAAACCAACCCATCCATCAGCGGAATTTGATCTCAAAGTAGATACATGTGAACAACAAAGCAAATGTAACTGCCCAATACTAAGTCGTTCCACTCACATAAGATACCTCGGACTTATCATAGACTACTGCCTATCTTGGTCAGCGCATATTAGCAAACTTAACCTGCCGGATTAGAATATTAATACCCATTTTCAGAAAATTGAGGAATTCAGCTGATTTTGAAACCGTGCTATATATTTCTTATGCCCTTCCTCAGAGTTTACTACAATATTGCATTGTAACCTGAGGTGGAATTGGAAAGACAACTCTACTCCCCTTAGAATGTGCACAGAGAGCAATATTAAAGGTTATGCTGGGTAAATCACAAAGATATAGCACTGAATTTATTTTTAAGGAATGTTCTGTACTTACAGTAAGACAGCTATTTGTCATGTCTGTTATACTAGGTAAGCACAAAATACAGATTTTAAACCTAATATTAAACGTAACAAAAATAGAATTTGTAAAATGAATGCCATCAAAACCATAACTTGTAAAAAAAACCAAGTCTCGCAACTCTGTTCTTCTACCCTAAAAAGTTGTGAGATCCATGTAATACCAAGTCGGTTAATTTATTCAGTCCCTACTTAAAAATCCTTCTGTCTCAAGTTATTACGTAATTAGCTAACCTAACAACATCTTATAGTGACCATATCAATATTTCAAATCTTTTATGTTTTAAATAAATAGATTGACTTGGCCATCGCATGAAAACACAATGTATCTTACAAGTAATACATATTATATTAAATTAGATTGTTTAGGCCAAATGGAGAAGCAAAGCATGGT